CCCTCAGTTGTTACTGTAGTATTTTCAGTTGTGGGAGAATATGTAGTTGTAGAAGTTTCCTCTGATTCAGTGGTAGTTTCTTCGCTTTCAGTGGTTCCCTCAGTTGTTACTGTAGTAGTTTCAGTTGTGGGAGAGTACGTAGTTGTAGAAGTTTCCTCTGATTCAGTGGTAGTTTCTTCGCTTTCAGTGGTTCCCTCAGTTGTTACTGTAGTAGTTTCAGTTGTGGGAGAATACGTAGTTGTAGACGTTTCCTCTGATTCAGTGGTAGTTTCTTCGCTTTCAGTGGTTCCCTCAGTTGTAACTGTAGTAGTCTCAATTGTGGGAGAATAAGTAGTTGTAGAAGTTTCCTCTGATTCAGTGGTAGTTTCTTCGCTTTCAGTGGTTCCCTCAGTTGTTACTGTAGTAAGTTTCAGTTGTGGGAGAATACGTAGTTGTAGAAGTTTCCTCTGATTCAGTGGTAGTTTCTTCGCTTTCAGTGGTTCCCTCAGTTGTTACTGTAGTAGTTTCAGTTGTGGGAGAATATGTAGTTGTAGAAGTTTCCTCTGATTCAGTGGTAGTTTCTTCGCTTTCAGTGGTTCCCTCAGTTGTTACTGTAGTAGTTTCAGTTGTGGGAGAATACGTAGTTGTAGAAGTTTCCTCTGATTCAGTGGTAGTTTCATCGCTTTCAGTGGTTCCCTCAGTTGTTACTGTAGTAGTTTCAGTTGTAGGAGAGTATGTAGTTGTAGAAGTTTCCTCTGATTCAGTGGTAGTTTCTTCGCAATCTGTAGTTCCCTCAGTTGTTACTGTAGTAGTTTCAGTTGTGGGGGAATACGTAGTTGTAGAAGTTTCCTCTGATTCAGTGGTAGTTTCTTCGCTTTCAGTGGTTCCCTCAGTTGTCAACTGTAGTAGTCTCAGTTGTGGGAGAATAAGTAGTTGTAGAAGTTTCCTCTGATTCAGTGGTAGTTTCTTCGCTTTCAGTGGTTCCCTCAGTTGTTACTGTAGTAGTTTCAGTTGTGGGATAATACGTAGTTGTAGAAGTTTCCTCTGATTCAGTGGTAGTTTCTTCGCTTTCAGTGGTTCCCTCAGTTGTTACTGTAGTAGTTTCAGTTGTGGGAGAATATGTAGTGGTAGAAGTTTCCTCTGATTCAGTGGTAGTTTCTTCGCTTTCAGTGGTTCTCTCAGTTGTTACTGTAGTAGTTTCAGTTGTGGGAGAATACGTAGTTGTAGAAGTTTCCTCTGATTCAGTGGTAGTTTCTTCGCTTTCAGTGGTTCCCTCAGTTGTTACTGTAGTAGTTTCAGTTGTAGGAGAGTATGTAGTTGTAGAAGTTTCCTCTGATTCAGTGGTAGTTTCTTCGCAATCTGTAGTTCCCTCAGTTGTTACTGTAGTAGTTTCAGTTGTGGGGGAATACGTAGTTGTAGAAGTTTCCTCTGATTCAGTGGTAGTTTCTTCGCTTTCAGTGGTTCCCTCAGTTGTAACTGTAGTAGTCTCAGTTGTGGGAGAATAAGTAGTTGTAGAAGTTTCCTCTGATTCAGTGGTAGTTTCTTCGCTTTCAGTGGTTCCCTCAGTTGTTACTGTAGTAGTTTCAGTTGTGGGAGAATAAGTAGTTGTAGAAGTTTCCTCTGATTCAGTGGTAGTTTCTTCGCTTTCAGTGGTTCCCTCAGTTGTTACTGTAGTAGTTTCAGTTGTGGGAGAATACGTAGTTGTAGAAGTTTCCTCTGATTCAGTGGTAGTTTCTTCGCTTTCAGTGGTTCCCTCAGTTGTTACTGTAGTAGTTTCAGTTGTGGGAGAATACGTAGTTGTAGAAGTTTCCTCTGATTCAGTGGTAGTTTCTTCGCTTTCAGTGGTTCCCTCAGTTGTTACTGTAGTAGTCTCAGTTGTGGGAGAATAAGTAGTTGTAGAAGTTTCCTCTGATTCAGTGGTAGTTTCTTCGCTTTCAGTGGTTCCCTCAGTTGTTACTGTAGTAGTTTCAGTTGTGGGAGAATATGTAGTTGTAGATGTTTCCTCTGATTCAGTGGTAGTTTCTTCGCTTTCAGTGGTTCCCTCAGTTGTTACTGTAGTAGTTTCAGTTGTGGGAGAATACGTAGTTGTAGAAGTTTCCTCTGATTCAGTGGTAGTTTCTTCGCTTTCAGTGGTTCCCTCAGTTGTTACTGTAGTAGTTTCAGTTGTGGGAGAATACGTAGTTGTAGAAGTTTCCTCTGATTCAGTGGTAGTTTCTTCGCTTTCAGTGGTTCCCTCAGTTGTTACTGTAGTAGTTTCAGTTGTGGGAGAATATGTAGTTGTAGAAGTTTCCTCTGATTCAGTGGTAGTTTCTTCGCTTTCAGTGGTTCCCTCAGTTGTTACTGTAGTAGTTTCAGTTGTGGGAGAATAGGTAGTTGTAGAAGTTTCCTCTGATTCAGTGGTAGTTTCTTCGCAATCTGTAGTTCCCTCAGTTGTTACTGTAGTAGTTTCAGTTGTGGGGGAATACGTAGTTGTAGATGTTTCCTCCGATTCAGTGGTAGTTTCTTCGCTTTCAGTGGTTCCCTCAGTTGTTACTGTAGTAGTTTCAGTTGTGGGAGAATAGGTAGTTGTAGAAGTTTCCTCTGATTCAGTGGTAGTTTCTTCGCTTTCAGTGGTTCCCCTCAGTTGTTACTGTAGTAGTTTCAGTTGTGGGAGAATAGGTAGTTGTAGAAGTTTCCTCTGATTCAGTGGTAGTTTCTTCGCTTTCAGTGGTTCCCTCAGTTGTTACTGTAGTAGTTTCAGTTGTGGGAGAATATGTAGTTGTAGAAGTTTCCTCTGATTCAGTGGTAGTTTTCTTCGCTTTCAGTGGTTCCCTCAGTTGTAACTGTAGTAGTTTCAGTTGTGGGAGAATACGTAGTTGTAGAAGTATCCTCTGATTTAGTGGTAGTTTCTTCGCTTTCAGTGGTTCCCTCAGTTGTTACTGTAGTAGTTTCAGTTGTGGGAGAATACGTAGTTGTAGAAGTATCCTCTGATTCAGTGGTAGTTTCTTCGCTTTCAGTGGTTCCCTCAGTTGTTACTGTAGTAGTTTCAGTTGTGGGAGAATACGTAGTTGTAGACGTTTCCTCTGATTCAGTGGTAGTTTCTTCGCTTTCAGTGGTTCCCTCAGTTGTTACTGTAGTAGTTTCAGTTGTGGGAGAATACGTAGTTGTAGACGTTTCCTCTGATTCAGTGGTAGTTTCTTCGCTTTCAGTGGTTCCCTCAGTTGTTACTGTAGTAGTTTCAGTTGTGGGAGAATACGTAGTTGTAGAAGTTTCCTCTGATTCAGTGGTAGTTTCTTCGCTTTCAGTGGTTCCCTCAGTTGTTACTGTAGTAGTTTCAGTTGTGGGAGAATATGTAGTTGTAGAAGTTTCCTCTGATTCAGTGGTAGTTTCTTCGCTTTCAGTGGTTCCCTCAGTTGTTACTGTAGTAGTTTCAGTTGTGGGAGAATACGTAGTTGTAGAAGTTTCCTCTGATTCAGTGGTAGTTTCTTCGCTTTCAGTGGTTCCCTCAGTTGTTACTGTAGTAGTTTCAGTTGTGGGAGAATACGTAGTTGGTAGAAGTTTCCTCTGATTCAGTGGTAGTTTCTTCGCTTTCAGTGGTTCCCTCAGTTGTTACTGTAGTAGTTTCAGTTGTGGGAGAATATGTAGTGGTAGAAGTTTCCTCTGATTCAGTGGTAGTTTCTTCGCTTTCAGTGGTTCCCTCAGTTGTTACTGTAGTAGTTTCAGTTGTGGGAGAATACGTAGTTGTAGAAGTTTCCTCTGATTCAGTGGTAGTTTCTTCGCTTTCAGTGGTTCCCTCAGTTGTTACTGTAGTAGTTTCAGTTGTAGGAGAGTATGTAGTTGTAGAAGTTTCCTCTGATTCAGTGGTAGTTTCTTCGCAATCTGTAGTTCCCTCAGTTGTTACTGTAGTAGTTTCAGTTGTGGGGGAATACGTAGTTGTAGAAGTTTCCTCTGATTCAGTGGTAGTTTCTTCGCTTTCAGTGGTTCCCTCAGTTGTAACTGTAGTAGTCTCAGTTGTGGGAGAATAAGTAGTTGTAGAAGTTTCCTCTGATTCAGTGGTAGTTTCTTCGCTTTCAGTGGTTCCCTCAGTTGTTACTGTAGTAGTTTCAGTTGTGGGAGAATAAGTAGTTGTAGAAGTTTCCTCTGATTCAGTGGTAGTTTCTTCGCTTTCAGTGGTCCCTCAGTTGTTACTGTAGTAGTTTCAGTTGTGGGAGAATACGTAGTTGTAGAAGTTTCCTCTGATTCAGTGGTAGTTTCTTCGCTTTCAGTGGTTCCCTCAGTTGTTACTGTAGTAGTTTCAGTTGTGGGAGAATACGTAGTTGTAGAAGTTTCCTCTGATTCAGTGGTAGTTTCTTCGCTTTCAGTGGTTCCCTCAGTTGTTACTGTAGTAGTCTCAGTTGTGGGAGAATAAGTAGTTGTAGAAGTTTCCTCTGATTCAGTGGTAGTTTCTTCGCTTTCAGTGGTTCCCTCAGTTGTTACTGTAGTAGTTTCAGTTGTGGGAGAATACGTAGTTGTAGAAGTTTCCTCTGATTCAGTGGTAGTTTCTTCGCTTTCAGTGGTTCCCTCAGTTGTTACTGTAGTAGTTTCAGTTGTGGGAGAATACGTAGTTGTAGAAGTTTCCTCTGATTCAGTGGTAGTTTCTTCGCTTTCAGTGGTTCCCTCAGTTGTTACTGTAGTAGTTTCAGTTGTGGGAGAATATGTAGTTGTAGAAGTTTCCTCTGATTCAGTGGTAGTTTCTTCGCTTTCAGTGGTTCCCTCAGTTGTTACTGTAGTAGTCTCAGTTGTGGGGAGAGTACGTAGTTGTAGAAGTTTCCTCTGATTCAGTGGTAGTTTCTTCGCTTCAGTGGTTCCCTCAGTTGTTACTGTAGTAGTCTCAGTTGTGGGAGAATAAGAAGTTGTAGAAGTTTCCTCTGATTCAGTGGTAGTTTCTTCGCTTTCAGTGGTTCCCTCAGTTGTTACTGTAGTAGTCTCAGTTGTGGGAGAGTACGTAGTTGTAGAAGTTTCCTCTGATTCAGTGGTAGTTTCTTCGCTTTCAGTGGTCCCTCAGTTGTTACTGTAGTAGTCTCAGTTGTGGGAGAATAAGTAGTTGTAGAAGTTTCCTCTGATTCAGTGGTAGTTTCTTCGCTTTCAGTGGTTCCCTCAGTTGTTACTGTAGTAGTTTCAGTTGTGGGAGAATATGTAGTTGTAGATGTTTCCTCTGATTCAGTGGTAGTTTCTTCGCTTTCAGTGGTTCCCTCAGTTGTTACTGTAGTAGTTTCAGTTGTGGGAGAATACGTAGTTGTAGAAGTTTCCTCTGATTCAGTGGTAGTTTCTTCGCTTTCAGTGGTTCCCTCAGTTGTTACTGTAGTAGTCTCAGTTGTGGGAGAATAAGTAGTTGTAGAAGTTTCCTCTGATTCAGTGGTAGTTTCTTCGCTTTCAGTGGTTCCCTCAGTTGTTACTGTAGTAGTTTCAGTTGTGGGAGAATATGTAGTTGTAGATGTTTCCTCTGATTCAGTGGTAGTTTCTTCGCTTTCAGTGGTTCCTCAGTTGTTACTGTAGTAGTTTCAGTTGTGGGAGAATACGTAGTTGTAGAAGTTTCCTCTGATTCAGTGGTAGTTTCTTCGCTTTCAGTGGTTCCCTCAGTTGTTACTGTAGTAGTTTCAGTTGTGGGAGAATACGTAGTTGTAGAAGTTTCCTCTGATTCAGTGGTAGTTTCTTCGCTTTCAGTGGTTCCCTCAGTTGTTACTGTAGTAGTTTCAGTTGTGGGAGAATATGTAGTTGTAGAAGTTTCCTCTGATTCAGTGGTAGTTTCTTCGCTTTCAGTGGTTCCCTCAGTTGTTACTGTAGTAGTTTCAGTTGTGGGAGAATAGGTAGTTGTAGAAGTTTCCTCTGATTCAGTGGTAGTTTCTTCGCAATCTGTAGTTCCCTCAGTTGTTACTGTAGTAGTTTCAGTTGTGGGGGAATACGTAGTTGTAGATGTTTCCTCCGATTCAGTGGTAGTTTCTTCGCTTTCAGTGGTTCCCTCAGTTGTTACTGTAGTAGTTTCAGTTGTGGGAGAATAGGTAGTTGTAGAAGTTTCCTCTGATTCAGTGGTAGTTTCTTCGCTTTCAGTGGTTCCCTCAGTTGTTACTGTAGTAGTTTCAGTTGTGGAGAATAGGTAGTTGTAGAAGTTTCCTCTGATTCAGTGGTAGTTTCTTCGCTTTCAAGTGGTTCCCTCAGTTGTTACTGTAGTAGTTTCAGTTGTGGGAGAATATGTAGTTGTAGAAGTTTCCTCTGATTCAGTGGTAGTTTCTTCGCTTTCAGTGGTTCCCTCAGTTGTAACTGTAGTAGTTTCAGTTGTGGGAGAATACGTAGTTGTAGAAGTATCCTCTGATTTAGTGGTAGTTTCTTCGCTTTCAGTGGTTCCCTCAGTTGTTACTGTAGTAGTTTCAGTTGTGGGAGAATACGTAGTTGTAGAAGTATCCTCTGATTCAGTGGTAGTTTCTTCGCTTTCAGTGGTTCCCTCAGTTGTTACTGTAGTAGTTTCAGTTGTGGGAGAATACGTAGTTGTAGACGTTTCCTCTGATTCAGTGGTAGTTTCTTCGCTTTCAGTGGTTCCCTCAGTTGTTACTGTAGTAGTTTCAGTTGTGGGAGAATACGTAGTTGTAGACGTTTCCTCTGATTCAGTGGTAGTTTCTTCGCTTTCAGTGGTTCCCTCAGTTGTTACTGTAGTAGTTTCAGTTGTGGGAGAATACGTAGTTGTAGAAGTTTCCTCTGATTCAGTGGTAGTTTCTTCGCTTTCAGTGGTTCCCTCAGTTGTTACTGTAGTAGTTTCAGTTGTGGGAGAATATGTAGTTGTAGAAGTTTCCTCTGATTCAGTGGTAGTTTCTTCGCTTTCAGTGGTTCCCTCAGTTGTTACTGTAGTAGTTTCAGTTGTGGGAGAATACGTAGTTGTAGAAGTTTCCTCTGATTCAGTGGTAGTTTCTTCGCTTTCAGTGGTTCCCTCAGTTGTTACTGTAGTAGTTTCAGTTGTGGGAGAATACGTAGTTGTAGAAGTTTCCTCTGATTCAGTGGTAGTTTCTTCGCTTTCAGTGGTTCCCTCAGTTGTTACTGTAGTAGTTTCAGTTGTGGGAGAATAAGTAGTTGTAGAAGTTTCCTCTGATTCAGTGGTAGTTTCTTCGCTTTCAGTGGTTCCCTCAGTTGTTACTGTAGTAGTTTCAGTTGTGGGAGAATAGGTAGTTGTAGAAGTTTCCTCTGATTCAGTGGTAGTTTCTTCGCTTTCAGTGGTTCCCTCAGTTTGTTACTGTAGTAGTTTCAGTTGTGGGAGAATAGGTAGTTGTAGAAGTTTCCTCTGATTCAGTGGTAGTTTCTTCGCTTTCAGTGGTTCCCTCAGTTGTTACTGTAGTAGTTTCAGTTGTGGGAGAATATGTAGTTGTAGAAGTTTCCTCTGATTCAGTGGTAGTTTCTTCGCTTTCAGTAGTTCCCTCAGTTGTAACTGTAGTAGTCTCAGTTGTGGGAGAATAAGTAGTTGTAGAAGTTTCCTCTGATTCAGTGGTAGTTTCTTCGCTTTCAGTGGTTCCCTCAGTTGTTACTGTAGTAGTTTCAGTTGTGGGAGAATACGTAGTTGTAGAAGTTTCCTCTGATTCAGTGGTAGTTTCTTCGCTTTCAGTGGTTCCCTCAGTTGTTACTGTAGTAGTTTCAGTTGTGGGAGAATACGTAGTTGTAGACGTTTCCTCTGATTCAGTGGTAGTTTCTTCGCTTTCAGTGGTTCCCTCAGTTGTTACTGTAGTAGTTTCAGTTGTGGGAGAATATGTAGTTGTAGAAGTTTCCTCTGATTCAGTGGTAGTTTCTTCGCTTTCAGTGGTTCCCTCAGTTGTTACTGTAGTAGTTTCAGTTGTGGGAGAATACGTAGTTGTAGAAGTTTCCTCTGATTCAGTGGTAGTTTCTTCGCTTTCAGTGGTTCCCTCAGTTGTTACTGTAGTAGTTTCAGTTGTGGGAGAATATGTAGTTGTAGAAGTTTCCTCTGATTCAGTGGTAGTTTCTTCGCTTTCAGTGGTTCCCTCAGTTGTTACTGTAGTAGTTTCAGTTGTGGGAGAATAAGTAGTTGTAGAAGTTTCCTCTGATTCAGTGGTAGTTTCTTCGCTTTCAGTGGTTCCCTCAGTTGTTACTGTAGTAGTTTCAGTTGTGGGAGAATAGGTAGTTGTAGAAGTTTCCTCTGATTCAGTGGTAGTTTCTTCGCTTTCAGTGGTTCCCTCAGTTGTTACTGTAGTAGTTTCAGTTGTGGGAGAATAGGTAGTTGTAGAAGTTTCCTCTGATTCAGTGGTAGTTTCTTCGCTTTCAGTGGTTCCCTCAGTTGTTACTGTAGTAGTTTCAGTTGTGGGAGAATATGTAGTTGTAGAAGTTTCCTCTGATTCAGTGGTAGTTTCTTCGCTTTCAGTGGTTCCCTCAGTTGTTACTGTAGTAGTTTCAGTTGTGGGAGAATATGTAGTTGTAGAAGTTTCCTCTGATTCAGTGGTAGTTTCTTCGCTTTCAGTAGTTCCCTCAGTTGTAACTGTAGTAGTCTCAGTTGTGGGAGAATAAGTAGTTGTAGAAGTTTCCTCTGATTCAGTGGTAGTTTCTTCGCTTTCAGTGGTTCCCTCAGTTGTTACTGTAGTAGTTTCAGTTGTGGGAGAATACGTAGTTGTAGAAGTTTCCTCTGATTCAGTGGTAGTTTCTTCGCTTTCAGTGGTTCCCTCAGTTGTTACTGTAGTAGTTTCAGTTGTGGGAGAATACGTAGTTGTAGAAGTTTCCTCTGATTCAGTGGTAGTTTCTTCGCTTTCAGTGGTTCCCTCAGTTGTTACTGTAGTAGTTTCAGTTGTGGGAGAATATGTAGTTGTAGAAGTTTCCTCTGATTCAGTGTTAGTTTCTTCGCTTTCAGTGGTTCCCTCAGTTGTTACTGTAGTAGTTTCAGTTGTGGGAGAATAAGTAGTTGTAGAAGTTTCCTCTGATTCAGTGGTAGTTTCTTCGCTTTCAGTGGTTCCCTCAGTTGTTACTGTAGTAGTTTCAGTTGTGGGAGAATAGGTAGTTGTAGAAGTTTCCTCTGATTCAGTGGTAGTTTCTTCGCAATCTGTAGTTCCCTCAGTTGTTACTGGTAGTAGTTTCAGTTGTGGGGGAATACGTAGTTGTAGATGTTTCCTCCGATTCAGTGGTAGTTTCTTCGCTTTCAGTGGTTCCCTCAGTTGTTACTGTAGTAGTTTCAGTTGTGGGAGAATAGGTAGTTGTAGAAGTTTCCTCTGATTCAGTGTAGTTTCTTCGCTTTCAGTGGTTCCCTCAGTTGTTACTGTAGTAGTTTCAGTTGTGGGAGAATAGGTAGTTGTAGAAGTTTCCTCTGATTCAGTGGTAGTTTCTTCGCTTTCAGTGGTTCCCTCAGTTGTTACTGTAGTAGTTTCAGTTGTGGGAGAATAGGTAGTTGTAGAAGTTTCCTCTGATTCAGTGGTAGTTTCTTCGCTTTCAGTGGTTCCCTCAGTTGTTACTGTAGTAGTTTCAGTTGTGGGGAGAATACGTAGTTGTAGAAGTATCCTCTGATTCAGTGGTAGTTTCTTCGCTTTCAGTGGTTCCCTCAGTTGTTACTGTAGTAGTTTCAGTTGTGGGAGAATACGTAGTTGTAGAAGTATCCTCTGATTCAGTGGTAGTTTCTTCGCTTTCAGTGGTTCCCTCAGTTGTTACTGTAGTAGTTTCAGTTGTGGGAGAATACGTAGTTGTAGACGTTTCCTCTGATTCAGTGGTAGTTTCTTCGCTTTCAGTGGTTCCCTCAGTTGTTAGTGTAGTAGTTTCAGTTGTGGGAGAATACGTAGTTGTAGACGTTTTCCTCTGATTCAGTGGTAGTTTCTTCGCTTTCAGTGGTTCCCTCAGTTGTTACTGTAGTAGTTTCAGTTGTGGGAGAATATGTAGTTGTAGAAGTTTCCTCTGATTCAGTGGTAGTTTCTTTCGCTTTCAGTGGTTCCCTCAGTTGTTACTGTAGTAGTTTCAGTTGTGGGAGAATATGTAGTTGTAGAAGTTTCCTCTGATTCAGTGGTAGTTTCTTCGCTTTCAGTGGTTCCCTCAGTTGTTACTGTAGTAGTTTCAGTTGTGGGAGAATACGTAGTTGTAGACGTTTCCTCTGATTCAGTGGTAGTTTCTTCGCTTTCAGTGGTTCCCTCAGTTGTTACTGTAGTAGTTTCAGTTGTGGGAGAATATGTAGTTGTAGAAGTTTCCTCTGATTCAGTGGTAGTTTCTTCGCTTTCAGTGGTTCCCTCAGTTGTTACTGTAGTAGTTTCAGTTGTGGGAGAATACGTAGTTGTAGAAGTTTCCTCTGATTCAGTGGTAGTTTTCTTCGCTTTCAGTGGTTCCCTCAGTTGTTACTGTAGTAGTCTCAGTTGTGGGAGAATATGTAGTTGTAGAAGTTTCCTCTGATTCAGTGGTAGTTTCTTCGCTTTCAGTGGTTCCCTCAGTTCTACTACAGTAGACAACTGAGGGAACCACTGAAAGCGAAGAAACTACCACTGAATCAGAGGAAACTTCTACAACTACATATTCTCCCACAACTGAGACTACTACAGTAACAACTGAGGGAACCACTGAAAGCGAAGAAACTACCACTGAATCAGAGGAAACTTCTACAACTACGTATTCTCCCACAACTGAAACTACTACAGTAACAACTGAGGGAACCACTGAAAGCGAAGAAACTACCACTGAATCAGAGGAAACTTCTACAACTACATATTCTCCCACAACTGAAACTACTACAGTAACAACTGAGGGAACCACTGAAAGCGAAGAAACTACCACTGAATCAGAGGAAACGTCTACAACTACGTATTCTCCCACAACTGAAACTACTACAGTAACAACTGAGGGAACCACTGAAAGCGAAGAAACTACCACTGAATCAGAGGAAACTTCTACAACTACATATTCTCCCACAACTGAAACTACTACAGTAACAACTGAGGGAACCACTGAAAGCGAAGAAACTACCACTGAATCAGAGGAAACTTCTACAACTACATATTCTCCCACAACTGAAACTACTACAGTAACAACTGAGGGAACCACTGAAAGCGAAGAAACTACCACTGAATCAGAGGAAACGTCTACAACTACGTATTCTCCCACAACTGAAACTACTACACTAACAACTGAGGGAACCACTGAAAGCGAAGAAACTACCACTGAATCAGAGGAAACGTCTACAACTACGTATTCTCCCACAACTGAAACTACTACAGTAACAACTGAGGGAACCACTGAAAGCGAAGAAACTACCACTGAATCAGAGGATACTTCTACAACTACGTATTCTCCCACAACTGAAACTACTACAGTAACAACTGAGGGAACCACTGAAAGCGAAGAAACTACCACTGAATCAGAGGATACTTCTACAACTACGTATTCTCCCACAACTGAAACTACTACAGTAACAACTGAGGGAACCACTGAAAGCGAAGAAACTACCACTGAATCAGAGGAAACTTCTACAACTACCTATTCTCCCACAACTGAAACTACTACAGTAACAACTGAGGGAACCACTGAAAGCGAAGAAACTACCACTGAATCAGAGGAAACTTCTACAACTACCTATTCTCCCACAACTGAAACTACTACAGTAACAACTGAGGGAACCACTGAAAGCGAAGAAACTACCACTGAATCAGAGGAAACTTCTACAACTACCTATTCTCCCACAACTGAAACTACTACAGTAACAACTGAGGGAACCACTGAAAGCGAAGAAACTACCACTGAATCGGAGGAAACATCTACAACTACGTATTCCCCCACAACTGAAACTACTACAGTAACAACTGAGGGGAACTACAGATTGCGAAGAAACTACCACTGAATCAGAGGAAACTTCTACAACTACCTATTCCCCACAACTGAAACTACTACAGTAACAACTGAGGGAACCACTGAAAGCGAAGAAACTACCACTGAATCAGAGGAAACTTCTACAACTACTTATTCTCCCACAACTGAAACTACTACAGTAACAACTGAGGGAACCACTGAAAGCGAAGAAACTAACACTGAATCAGAGGAAACTTCTACAACTACATATTCTCCCACAACTGAAACTACTACAGTAACAACTGAGGGAACCACTGAAAGCGAAGAAACTACCACTGAATCAGAGGAAACTTCTACAACTACGTATTCTCCACAACTGAAACTACTACAGTAACAACTGAGGGAACCACTGAAAGCGAAGAAACTACCACTGAATCAGAGGAACTTCTACAACTACGTATTCTCCCACAACTGAAACTACTACAGTAACAACTGAGGGAACCACTGAAAGCGAAGAAACTACCACTGAATCAGAGGAAACTTCTACAACTACTTATTCTCCCACAACTGAGACTACTACAGTTACAACTGAGGGAACTACTGAAAGCGAAGAAACTACCACTGAATCAGAGGAAACTTCTACAACTACATATTCTCCCACAACTGAAACTACTACAGTAACAACTGAGGGAACCACTGAAAGCGAAGAAACTACCACTGAATCAGAGGAAACTTCTACAACTACATATTCTCCCACAACTGAAACTACTACAGTAACAACTGAGGGAACCACTGAAAGCGAAGAAACTACCACTGAATCAGAGGAAACTTCTACAACTACCTATTCTCCCACAACTGAAACTACTACAGTAACAACTGAGGGAACCACTGAAAGCGAAGAAACTACCACTGAATCAGAGGAAACTTCTACAACTACCTATTCTCCCACAACTGAAACTACTACAGTAACAACTGAGGGAACACTGAAAGCGAAGAAACTACCACTGAATCAGAGGAAACTTCTACAACTACTTATTCTCCCACAACTGAAACTACTACAGTAACAACTGAGGGAACCACTGAAAGCGAAGAAACTACCACTGAATCAGAGGAAACTTCTACAACTACATATTCTCCCACAACTGAAACTACTACAGTAACAACTGAGGGAACCACTGAAAGCGAAGAAACTACCACTGAATCAGAGGAAACTTCTACAACTACTTATTCTCCCACAACTGAAACTACTACAGTAACAACTGAGGGAACCACTGAAAGCGAAGAAACTACCACTGAATCAGAGGAAACTTCTACAACTACTTATTCTCCCACAACTGAAACTACTACAGTAACAACTGAGGGAACCACTGAAAGCGAAGAAACTACCACTGAATCAGAGGAAACTTCTACAACTACGTATTCTCCCACAACTGAAACTACTACAGTAACAACTGAGGGAACCACTGAAAGCGAAGAAACTACCACTGAATCAGAGGAAACTTCTACAACTACGTATTCTCCCACAACTGAAACTACTACAGTAACAACTGAGGGAACCACTGAAAGCGAAGAAACTACCACTGAATCAGAGGAAACTTCTACAACTACTTATTCTCCCACAACTGAGACTACTACAGTTACAACTGAGGGAACTACTGAAAGCGAAGAAACTACCACTGAATCAGAGGAAACTTCTACAACTACATATTCTCCCACAACTGAAACTACTACAGTAACAACTGAGGGAACCACTGAAAGCGAAGAAACTACCACTGAATCAGAGGAAACTTCTACAACTACCTATTCTCCCACAACTGAAACTACTACAGTAACAACTGAGGGAACCACTGAAAGCGAAGAAACTACCACTGAATCAGAGGAAACTTCTACAACTACCTATTCTCCCACAACTGAAACTACTACAGTAACAACTGAGGGAACCACTGAAAGCGAAGAAACTACCACTGAATCAGAGGAAACTTCTACAACTACTTATTCTCCCACAACTGAAACTACTACAGTAACAACTGAGGGAACCACTGAAAGCGAAGAAACTACCACTGAATCAGAGGAAACTTCTACAACTACGTATTCTCCCACAACTGAAACTACTACAGTAACAACTGAGGGAACCACTGAAAGCGAAGAAACTACCACTGAATCAGAGGAAACTTCTACAACTACGTATTCTCCCACAACTGAAACTACTACAGTAACAACTGAGGGAACCACTGAAAGCGAAGAAACTACCACTGAATCAGAGGAAACTTCTACAACTACATATTCTCCCACAACTGAAACTACTACAGTAACAACTGAGGGAACCACTGAAAGCGAAGAAACTACCACTGAATCAGAGGAAACTTCTACAACTACGTATTCTCCCACAACTGAAACTACTACAGTAACAACTGAGGGAACCACTGAAAGCGAAGAAACTACCACTGAATCAGAGGAAACGTCTACAACTACGTATTCTCCCACAACTGAAACTACTACAGTAACAACTGAGGGAACCACTGAAAGCGAAGAAACTACCACTGAATCAGAGGAAACGTCTACAACTACGTATTCTCCCACAACTGAAACTACTACAGTAACAACTGAGGGAACCACTGAAAGCGAAGAAACTACCACTGAATCAGAGGATACTTCTACAACTACGTATTCTCCCACAACTGAAACTACTACAGTAACAACTGAGGGAACCACTGAAAGCGAAGAAACTACCACTAATCAGAGGATACTTCTACAACTACGTATTCTCCCACAACTGAAACTACTACAGTTACAACTGAGGGAACCACTGAAAGCGAAGAAACTACCACTGAATCAGAGGAAACTTCTACAACTACATATTCTCCCACAACTGAAACTACTACAGTAACAACTGAGGGAACCACTGAAAGCGAAGAAACTACCACTGAATCAGAGGAAACTTCTACAACTACCTATTCTCCCACAACTGAAACTACTACAGTAACAACTGAGGGAACCACTGAAAGCGAAGAAACTACCACTGAATCAGAGGAAACTTCTACAACTACCTATTCTCCCACAACTGAAACTACTACAGTAACAACTGAGGGAACCACTGAAAGCGAAGAAACTACCACTGAATCGGAGGAAACATCTACAACTACGTATTCCCCACAACTGAAACTACTACAGTAACAACTGAGGGAACTACAGATTGCGAAGAAACTACCACTGAATCAGAGGAAACTTCTACAACTACCTATTCTCCACAACTGAAACTACTACAGTAACAACTGAGGGAACCACTGAAAGCGAAGAAACTACCACTGAATCAGAGGAACTTCTACAACTACATATTCTCCCACAACTGAAACTACTACAGTAACAACTGAGGGAACCACTGAAAGCGAAGAAACTACCACTGAATCAGAGGAAACTTCTACAACTACGTATTCTCCCACAACTGAAACTACTACAGTAACAACTGAGGGAACCACTGAAAGCGAAGAAACTACCACTGAATCAGAGGAAACTTCTACAACTACGTATTCTCCCACAACTGAAACTACTACAGTAACAACTGAGGGAACCACTGAAAGCGAAGAAACTACCACTGAATCAGAGGAAACATCTACAACTACATATTCTCCCACAACTGAAACTACTACAGTAACAACTGAGGGAACCACTGAAGCGAAGAAACTACCACTGAATCAGAGGAAACTTCTACAACTACTTATTCTCCCACAACTGAGACTACTACAGTAACAACTGAGGGAACCACTGAAAGCGAAGAAACTACCACTGAATCAGAGGAAACTTCTACAACTACGTATTCTCCCACAACTGAAACTACTACAGTAACAACTGAGGGAACCACTGAAAGCGAAGAAACTACCACTGAATCAGAGGAAACATCTACAACTACATATTCTCCCACAACTGAAACTACTACAGTAACAACTGAGGGAACCACTGAAAGCGAAGAAACTACCACTGAATCAGAGGAAACTTCTACAACTACTTATTCTCCCACAACTGAGACTACTACAGTAACAACTGAGGGAACCACTGAAAGCGAAGAACTACCACTGAATCAGAGGAAACTTCTACAACTACGTACTCTCCCACAACTGAGACTACTACAGTAACAACTGAGGGAACCACTGAAAGCGAAGAAACTACCACTGAATCAGAGGAAACTTCTACAACTACTTATTCTCCCACAACTGAGACTACTACAGTAACAACTGAGGGAACCACTGAAAGCGAAGAAACTACCACTGAATCAGAGGAAACTTCTACAACTACGTACTCTCCCACAACTGAGACTACTACAGTAACAACTGAGGGAACCACTGAAAGCGAAGAAACTACCACTGAATCAGAGGAAACTTCTACAACTACATATTCTCCCACAACTGAAACTACTACAGTAACAACTGAGGGAACCACTGAAAGCGAAGAAACTACCACTGAATCAGAGGAAACTTCTACAACTACGTATTCTCCCACAACTGAAACTACTACAGTAACAACTGAGGGAACCACTGAAAGCGAAGAAACTACCACTGAATCAGAGGAAACTTCTACAACTACGTATTCTCCACAACTGAAACTACTACAGTAACAACTGAGGGAACCACTGAAAGCGAAGAAACTACCACTGAATCAGAGGAAACTTCTACAACTACTTATTCTCCCACAACTGAGACTACTACAGTAACAACTGAGGGAACCACTGAAAGCGAAGAAACTACCACTGAATCAGAGGAAACTTCTACAACTACGTATTCTCCCACAACTGAAACTACTACAGTAACAACTGAGGGAACCACTGAAAGCGAAGAAACTACCACTGAATCAGAGGAAACTTCTACAACTACGTATTCTCCCACAACTGAAACTACTACAGTAACAACTGAGGGAACCACTGAAAGCGAAGAAACTACCACTGAATCAGAGGAAACTTCTACAACTACTTATTCTCCCACAACTGAAACTACTACAGTAACAACTGAGGGAACCACTGAAAGCGAAGAAACTACCACTGAATCAGAGGAAACTTCTACAACTACTTATTCTCCCACAACTGAGACTACTACAGTTACAACTGAGGGAACCACTGAAAGCGAAGAAACTACCACTGAATCAGAGGAAACTTCTACAACTACGTATTCCCCCACAACTGAAACTACTACAGTAACAACTGAGGGAACTACAGATTGCGAAGAAACTACCACTGAATCAGAGGAAACTTCTACAACTACATACTCTCCTACAACTGAAACTACTACAGTAACAACTGAGGGAACCACTGAAAGCGAAGAAACTACCACTGAATCAGAGGAAACTTCTACAACTACGTATTCTCCCACAACTGAAACTACTACAGTAACAACTGAGGGAACCACTGAAAGCGAAGAAACTACCACTGAATCAGAGGAAACTTCTACCACTACATATTCTCCCACAACTGAAACTACTACAGTAACAACTGAGGGAACCACTGAAAGCGAAGAAACTACCACTGAATCAGAGGAAACTTCTACAACTACGTATTCTCCCACAACTGAAACTACTACAGTAACAACTGAGGGAACCACTGAAAGCGAAGAAACTACCACTGAATCAGAGGAAACTTCTACAACTACGTATTCTCCCACAACTGAAACTACTACAGTAACAACTGAGGGAACCACTGAAAGCGAAGAAACTACCACTGAATCAGAGGAAACTTCTACAACTACATATTCTCCCACAACTGAAACTACTACAGTAACAACTGAGGGAACCACTGAAAGCGAAGAAACTACCACTGAATCAGAGGAAACTTCTACAACTACGTATTCTCCCACAACTGAAACTACTACAGTAACAACTGAGGGAACCACTGAAAGCGAAGAAACTACCACTGAATCAGAGGAAACGTCTACAACTACGTATTCTCCCACAACTGAAACTACTACAGTAACAACTGAGGGAACCACTGAAAGCGAAGAAACTACCACTGAATCAGAGGAAACGTCTACAACTACGTATTCTCCCACAACTGAAACTACTACAGTAACAACTGAGGGAACCACTGAAAGCGAAGAAACTACCACTGAATCAGAGGATACTTCTACAACTACGTATTCTCCCACAACTGAAACTACTACAGTAACAACTGAGGGAACCACTGAAAGCGAAGAAACTACCACTAAATCAGAGGATACTTCTACAACTACGTATTCTCCCACACTGAAACTACTACAGTTACAACTGAGGGAACCACTGAAAGCGAAGAAACTACCACTGAATCAGAGGAAACTTCTACAACTACATATTCTCCCACAACTGAAACTACTACAGTAACAACTGAGGGAACCACTGAAAGCGAAGAAACTACCACTGAATCAGAGGAAACTTCTACAACTACCTATTCTCCGCACAACTGAAACTACTACAGTAACAACTGAGGGAACCACTGAAAGCGAAGAAACTACCACTGAATCAGAGGAAACTTCTACAACTACCTATTCTCCCACAACTGAAACTACTACAGTAACAACTGAGGGAACCACTGAAAGCGAAGAAACTACCACTGAATCGGAGGAAACATCTACAACTACGTATTCCCCCACAACTGAAACTACTACAGTAACAACTGAGGGAACTACAGATTGCGAAGAAACTACCACTGAATCAGAGGAAACTTCTACAACTACCTATTCTCCCACAACTGAAACTACTACAGTAACAACTGAGGGGAACCACTGAAAGCGAAGAAACTACCACTGAATCAGAGGAAACTTCTACAACTACATATTCTCCCACAACTGAAACTACTACAGTAACAACTGAGGGAACCACTGAAAGCGAAGAAACTACCACTGAATCAGAGGAAACTTCTACAACTACGTATTCTCCCACAACTGAAACTACTACAGTAACAACTGAGGGGAACCACTGAAAGCGAAGAAACTACCACTGAATCAGAGGAAACTTCTACAACTACGTATTCTCCCACAACTGAAACTACTACAGTAACAACTGAGGGAACCACTGAAAGCGAAGAAACTACCACTGAATCAGAGGAAACATCTACAACTACATATTCTCCCACAACTGAAACTACTACAGTAACAACTGAGGGAACCACTGAAAGCGAAGAAACTACCACTGAATCAGAGGAAACTTCTACAACTACTTATTCTCCCACAACTGAGACTACTACAGTAACAACTGAGGGAACCACTGAAAGCGAAGAAACTACCACTGAATCAGAGGAAACTTCTACAACTACGTATTCTCCCACAACTGAAACTACTACAGTAACAACTGAGGGAACCACTGAAAGCGAAGAAACTACCACTGAATCAGAGGAAACTTCTACAACTACGTATTCTCCCACAACTGAAACTACTACAGTAACAACTGAGGGAACCACTGAAAGCGAAGAAACTACCACTGAATCAGAGGAAACTTCTACAACTACTTATTCTCCCACAACTGAAACTACTACAGTAACAACTGAGGGAACCACTGAAAGCGAAGAAACTACCACTGAATCAGAGGAAACTTCTACAACTACTTATTCTCCCACAACTGAGACTACTACAGTTACAACTGAGGGGAACCACTGAAAGCGAAGAAACTACCACTGAATCAGAGGAAACTTCTACAACTACGTATTCCCCCACAACTGAAACTACTACAGTAACAACTGAGGGAACTACAGATTGCGAAGAAACTACCACTGAATCAGAGGAAACTTCTACAACTACATACTCTCCTACAACTGAAACTACTACAGTAACAACTGAGGGAACCACTGAAAGCGAAGAAACTACCACTGAATCAGAGGAAACTTCTACAACTACGTATTCTCCCACAACTGAAACTACTACAGTAACAACTGAGAGAACCACTGAAAGCGAAGAAACTACCACTGAATCAGAGGAAACTTCTACCACTACATATTCTCCCACAACTGAAACTACTACAGTAACAACTGAGGGAACCACTGAAGCGAAGAAACTACCACTGAATCAGAGGAAACTTCTACAACTACGTATTATCCCACAACTGAAACTACTACAGTAACAACTGAGGGAACCACTGAAAGCGAAGAAACTACCACTGAATCAGAGGAAACTTCTACAACTACTTATTCTCCCACAACTGAGACTACTACAGTTACAACTGAGGGAACCACTGAAAGCGAAGAAACTACCACTGAATCAGAGGAAACTTCTACAACTACGTATTCCCCCACAACTGAAACTACTACAGTAACAACTGAGGGAACTACAGATTGCGAAGAAACTACCACTGAATCAGAGAAACTTCTACAACTACATACTCTCCTACAACTGAAACTACTACAGTAACAACTGAGGGAACCACTGAAAGCGATGAAACTACCACTGAATCAGAGGAAACTTCTACAAACTACGTATTCTCCCACAACTGAAACTACTACAGTAACAACTGAGGGAACCACTGAAAGCGAAGAAACTACCACTGAATCAGAGGAAACTTCTACAACTACATATTCTCCCACAACTGAAACTACTACAGTAACAACTGAGGGAACCACTGAAAGCGAAGAAACTACCACTGAATCAGAGGAAACTTCTACAACTACGTATTCTCCACAACTGAAACTACTACAGTAACAACTGAGGGAACCACTGAAAGCGAAGAAACTACCACTGAATCAGAGGAAACTTCTACAACTACTTATTCTCCCACAATTGAGACTACTACAGTTACAACTGAGGGAACCACTGAAAGCGAAGAAACTACCACTGAATCAGAGGAAACGTCTACAACTACGTATTCTCCCACAACTGAAACTACTACAGTAACAACTGAGGGAACCACTGAAAGCGAAGAAACTACCACTGAATCAGAGGAAACTTCTACAACTACGTACTCTCCCACAACTGAAACTACTACAGTAACAACTGAGGGAACCACTGAAAGCGAAGAAACTACCACTGAATCAGAGGAAACTTCTACAACTACATATTCTCCCACAACTGAAAATACTACAGTAACAACTGAGGGAACCACTGAAAGCGAAGAAACTACCACTGAATCAGAGGAAACTTCTACAACTACATATTCTCCCACAACTGAAACTACTACAGTAACAACTGAGGGAACCACTGAAAGCGAAGAAACTACCACTGAATCAGAGGAAACTTCTACAACTACGTATTCTCCCACAACTGAAACTACTACAGTAACAACTGAGGGAACCACTGAAAGCGAAGAAACTACCACTGAATCAGAGGAAACTTCTACAACTACGTATTCTCCCACAACTGAAACTACTACAGTAACAACTGAGGGAACCACTGAAAGCGAAGAAACTACCACTGAATCAGAGGAAACTTCTACAACTACGTATTCTCCCACAACTGAAACTACTACAGTAACAACTGAGGGAACCACTGAAAGCGAAGAAACTACCACTGAATCAGAGGAAACTTCTACAACTACTTATTCTCCCACAATTGAGACTACTACAGTTACAACTGAGGGAACCACTGAAAGCGAAGAAACTACCACTGAATCAGAGGAAACGTCTACAACTACGTATTCTCCCACAACTGAAACTACTACAGTAACAACTGAGGGAACCACTGAAAGCGAAGAAACTACCACTGAATCAGAGGAAACTTCTACAACTACGTACTCTCCCACAACTGAAACTACTACAGTAACAACTGAGGGAACCACTGAAAGCGAAGAAACTACCACTGAATCAGAGGAAACTTCTACAACTACATATTCTCCCACAACTGAAACTACTACAGTAACAACTGAGGGAACCACTGAAAGCGAAGAAACTACCACTGAATCAGAGGAAACTTCTACAACTACATATTCTCCCACAACTGAAACTACTACAGTAACAACTGAGGGAACCACTGAAAGCGAAGAAACTACCACTGAATCAGAGGAAACTTCTACAACTACGTATTCTCCCACAACTGAAACTACTACAGTAACAACTGAGGGAACCACTGAAAGCGAAGAAACTACCACTGAATCAGAGGAAACTTCTACAACTACGTATTCTCCCACAACTGAAACTACTACAGTAACAACTGAGGGAACCACTGAAAGCGAAGAAACTACCACTGAATCAGAGGAAACTTCTACAACTACTTCTTCTCCCACAACTGAGACTACTACAGTTACAACTGAGGGAACCACTGAAAGCGAAGAAACTACCACTGAATCAGAGGAAACTTCTACAACTACGTATTCTCCCACAACTGAAACTACTACAGTAACAACTGAGGGAACCACTGAAAGCGAAGAAACTACCACTGAATCAGAGGAAACTTCTACAACTACTTATTCTCCCACAACTGAAACTACTACAGTAACAACTGAGGGAACCACTGAAAGCGAAGAAACTACCACTGAATCAGAGGAAACTTCTACAACTACTTATTCTCCCACAACTGAGACTACTACAGTTACAACTGAGGGAACCACTGAAAGCGAAGAAACTACCACTGAATCAGAGGAAACTTCTACAACTACATATTCTCCCACAACTGAAACTACTACAGTAACAACTGAGGGAACCACTGAAAGCGAAGAAACTACCACTGAATCAGAGGATACTTCTACAACTACGTATTCTCCCACAACTGAAACAACTACAGTAACAACTGAGGGAACCACTGAAAACGAAGAAACTACCACTGAATCAGAGGAAACTTCTACAACTACGTATTCTCCCACAACTGAAACTACTACAGTAACAACTGAGGGAACCACTGAAAGCGAAGAAACTACCACTGAATCAGAGGAAACTTCTACAACTACGTATTCTCCCACAACTGAAACTACTACAGTAACAACTGAGGGAACCACTGAAAGCGAAGAAACTACCACTGAATCAGAGGAAACTTCTACAACTACTTATTCTCCCACAACTGAGACTACTACAGTAACAACTGAGGGAACCACTGAAAGCGAAGAAACTACCACTGAATCAGAGGAAACTTCTACAACTACGTATTCTCCCACAACTGAAACTACTACAGTAACAACTGAGGGAACCACTGAAAGCGAAGAAACTACCACTGAATCAGAGGAAACGTCTACAACTACGTATTCTCCCACAACTGAAACTACTACAGTAACAACTGAGGGAACCACTGAAAGCGAAGAAACTACCACTGAATCAGAGGAAACTTCTACAACTACGTATTCTCCCACAACTGAAACTACTACAGTAACAACTGAGGGAACCACTGAAAGCGAAGAAACTACCACTGAATCAGAGGAAACGTCTACAACTACGTATTCTCCCACAACTGAAACTACTACAGTAACAACTGAGGGAACCACTGAAAGCGAAGAAACTACCACTGAATCAGAGGAAACTTCTACAACTACGTATTCCCCCACAACTGAAACTACTACAGTAACAACTGAGGGAACTACAGATTGCGAAGAAACTACCACTGAATCAGAGGAAACTTCTACAACTACGTATTCTCCCACAACTGAAACTACTACAGTAACAACTGAGGGAACCACTGAAAGCGAAGAAACTACCACTGAATCAGAGGAAACTTCTACAACTACGTATTCTCCCACAACTGAAACTACTACAGTAACAACTGAGGGAACCACTGAAAGCGAAGAAACTACCACTGAATCAGAGGAAACTTCTACAACTACGTATTCCCCCACAACTGAAACTACTACAGTAACAACTGAGGGAACCACTGAAAGCGAAGAAACTACCACTGAATCAGAGGAAACTTCTACAACTACGTATTCCCCCACAACTGAAACTACTACAGTAACAACTGAGGGAACTACAGATTGCGAAGAAACTACCACTGAATCAGAGGAAACTTCTACAACTACGTATTCTCCCACAACTGAAACTACTACAGTAACAACTGAGGGAACCACTGAAAGCGAAGAAACTACCACTGAATCAGAGGAAACTTCTACAACTACGTATTCTCCCACAACTGAAACTACTACAGTAACAACTGAGGGAACCACTGAAAGCGAAGAAACTACCACTGAATCAGAGGAAACTTCTACAACTACGTATTCTCCCACAACTGAAACTACTACAGTAACAACTGAGGGAACCACTGAAAGCGAAGAAACTACCACTGAATCAGAGGAAACTTCTACAACTACTTATTCTCCCACAACTGAGACTACTACAGTAACAACTGAGGGAACCACTGAAAGCGAAGAAACTACCACTGAATCAGAGGAAACTTCTACAACTACGTATTCTCCCACAACTGAAACTACTACAGTAACAACTGAGGGAACCACTGAAAGCGAAGAAACTACCACTGAATCAGAGGAAACTTCAACAACTACGTATTCTCCCACAACTGAAACTACTACAGTAACAACTGAGGGAACCACTGAAAGCGAAGAAACTACCACTGAATCAGAGGAAACTTCTACAACTACATATTCTCCCACAACTGAAACTACTACAGTAACAACTGAGGGAACCACTGAAAGCGAAGAAACTACCACTGAATCAGAGGAAACTTCTACAACTACATATTCTCCCACAACTGAAACTACTACAGTAACAACTGAGGGAACCACTGAAAGCGAAGAAACTACCACTGAATCAGAGGAAACTTCTACAACTACGTATTCTCCCACAACTGAAACTACTACAGTAACAACTGAGGGAACCACTGAAAGCGAAGAAACTACCACTGAATCAGAGGAAACTTCTACAACTACGTATTCTCCCACAACTGAAACTACTACAGTAACAACTGAGGGAACCACTGAAAGCGAAGAAACTACCACTGAATCAGAGGAAACTTCTACAACTACTTATTCTCCCACAACTGAAACTACTACAGTAACAACTGAGGGAACCACTGAAAGCGAAGAAACTACCACTGAATCAGAGGAAACTTCTACAACTACTTATTCTCCCACAACTGAGACTACTACAGTTACAACTGAGGGAACCACTGAAAGCGAAGAAACTACCACTGAATCAGAGGAAACTTCTACAACTACATATTCTCCCACAACTGAAACTACTACAGTAACAACTGAGGGAACCACTGAAAGCGAAGAAACTACCACTGAATCAGAGGATACTTCTACAACTACGTATTCTCCCACAACTGAAACAACTACAGTAACAACTGAGGGAACCACTGAAAGCGAAGAAACTACCACTGAATCAGAGGAAACTTCTACAACTACGTATTCTCCCACAACTGAAACTACTACAGTAACAACTGAGGGAACCACTGAAAGCGAAGAAACTACCACTGAATCAGAGGAAACTTCTACAACTACGTATTCGCCCACAACTGAAACTACTACAGTAACAACTGAGGGAACCACTGAAAGCGAAGAAACTACCACTGAATCAGAGGAAACTTCTACAACTACTTATTCTCCCACAACTGAGACTACTACAGTAACAACTGAGGGAACCACTGAAAGCGAAGAAACTACCACTGAATCAGAGGAAACTTCTACAACTACGTATTCTCCCACAACTGAAACTACTACAGTAACAACTGAGGGAACCACTGAAAGCGAAGAAACTACCACTGAATCAGAGGAAACTTCAAAAACTACATATTCTCCCACAACTGAAACTACTACAGTAACAACTGAGGGAACCACTGAAAGCGAAGAAACTACCACTGAATCAGAGGAAACTTCTACAACTACGTATTCTCCCACAACTGAAACTACTACAGTAACAACTGAGGGAACCACTGAAAGCGAAGAAACTACCACTGAATCAGAGGAAACTTCTACAACTACTTATTCTACCACAACTGAGACTACTACAGTTACAACTGAGGGAACCACTGAAAGCGAAGAAACTACCACTGAATCAGAGGAAACTTCTACAACTACATATTCTCCCACAACTGAAACTACTACAGTAACAACTGAGGGAACCACTGAAAGCGAAGAAACTACCACTGAATCAGAGGAAACTTCTACAACTACATATTCTCCCACAACTGAAACTACTACAATAACAACTGAGGGAACCACTGAAAGCGAAGAAACTACCACTGAATCAGAGGAAACTTCTACAACTACTTATTCTCCCACAACTGAAACTACTACAGTAACAACTGAGGGAACCACTGAAAGCGAAGAAACTACCACTGAATCAGAGGAAACTTCTACAACTACTTATTCTCCCACAACTGAGACTACTACAGTTACAACTGAGGGAACCACTGAAAGCGAAGAAACTACCACTGAATCAGAGGAAACTTCTACAACTACATACTCTCCTACAACTGAAACTACTACAGTAACAACTGAGGGAACCACTGAAAGCGAAGAAACTACCACTGAATCAGAGGAAACTTCTACAACTACCTATTCTCCCACAACTGAAACTACTACAGTAACAACTGAGGGAACCACTGAAAGCGAAGAGACTACCACTGAATCAGAGGAAACTTCTACAACTACGTATTCCCCCACAACTGAAACTAACACAGTAACCACTGAGGGAACTACTGATTGCGAAGAAACTACTACTGAATCAGAGGAAACTTCTACAACTACATATTCTCCCACAACTGAAACTACTACTGTAAAAACTGAGGGAACCACTGAAAGCGAAGAAACTACCACTGAATCAGAGGAAACTTCTACAACTACGTATTCTCCCACAACTGAAACTACTACAGTAACAACTGAGGGAACCACTGAAAGCGAAGAAACTACCACTGAATCAGAGGAAACTTCTACAACTACATATTCTCCCACAACTGAAACTACTACAGTAACAACTGAGGGAACCACTGAAAGCGAAGAAACTACCACTGAATCAGAGGAAACTTCTACAACTACATATTCTCCCACAACTGAAACTACTACAGTAACAACTGAGGGAACCACTGAAAGCGAAGAAACTACCACTGAATCAGAGGAAACTTCTACAACTACGTATTCTCCCACAACTGAAACTACTACAGTAACTACTGAAGGAACTACCGATTGCGAAGAAATTTCTTTAACAACAACATCACAGGAGACAACTACAAAAACAATGGGTCCTTCATCGACACAGTCTTCTACCACATCATATCCAGAGACAACGACATCCAGCAACCACTCCCGCTGCTCTCAACCGGGTAAATACCCTGACCCGAGTGATTGTTCGAAATTCTACATGTGCCTCATTGTCGGTATTGACCTCATCGAATACGACCTGACCTGTCCACTCCATACACTTTACGATGCTTCAAATCAAATTTGCACTGACCGCCCAGTCCAATGTCCAGGCGAAATCGAACTTAAATGCGATGCGGCGGGGTATTTCAATCACCCCACCAACTGCAGCAGGTACTACCTTTGCGAAATCGACGTAGACTTGACTGCATACAGGATAACTCAATACACCTGTCCAGCCGGAACAAGTTTCGATGTAGACACGAGTGCTTGCGTGGAATCGTCTTGTAACCTCGGTACTACAGTTCCAGTTTCCTCTAGTACTACTACGTCTACTACAATCGCACCAAGAACAACACCTTCCAACAGGTTTACTTGCCCAGCCGAAGGCACCTATCCAGATACAACCAGCTGCACCAGTTACCACATATGCGTGCAAGTACTAAATAAACTGATCGATGTTGTTATTGATTGTCCGAGCGGTACCCAGTACGACGCGACCAATGGCATTTGCACCTCCAAGCCGGTGCAGTGCCCCAACGACGCCCCGTTGTCCTGCACCGAAACCGGCATCTTCCTGTACCCCAACGACTGCACCCGCTACTACCAATGCTCGATCTCCAAGACGGGCGGGTACGTCATCACGCTCTACCAATGTCCCAAGACGTGGTCGTACAGCCAGCAGTACGGCACGTGTCTGCCTTCAGCGAACTGCGGTAACGAGAGGAGCTTCCCCTGCCCGACGGTGGGCAAGTTCCCGATCGACGGCAGCTGCAGGCAGTACTACGAGTGCCAGATGGTCAACGGCCAGCTTCTGCCGTACCTCAAGAGCTGCGGCATTTTCTGGATGTTCGACAGGGAGCAGCAGAGGTGCAGGCGGGAGTGTTTCGTCTCGTGCGAAGTTCCCATCGATAGCGATGATGTTATTGGAATGCAGGGAGCGTTAATAGAGGAATAGTAGATGTCTTATGCTTGGGTTAAGGGGATAATTAAAAAATGTACGTAATAAAAAAGTGTAATAGAAATTAAATCTAATAAAATAATCAAATATAATAATTTTGTTGTTTTATTTCGTAGTACTTTCATTCCGTTGTAAATTTGAATTTGAACTAAACCCATTTTTGATCATTTTTATTGCAACTGGTATTCATTAATTGAATCAAAAATACCGAAGTAATGAATTTAACCATTGGGCATTTTAACATTGTATATTTATTAATAAAATTGCTTTATACATTCGATATCCTCAAATTTAAAAGAAAAAGAGAAAAGTTATTTAATACGGGGTGATCAAAAATTTTCAATATATGGCTAGTTTTATCTTCTGTTTATCACGGTCACACCCTGTATAATAGTATATTTAACAATGATATTTGAAAAAGTTAAGCATTGTACTGTCAAGTACTCTTGTTATAAAATTTACTTAGAACATAAAATTAAATTAAACTAAAATTGAAATCACCCTCTATACAACTTAATAATTTTATAATCGTAGTAAAAATATTGTAAAGTACTCTTAAAACCGTTTGTAAAATAACATTTTTAGTTTGATTATCTTAAACTATTGTTATTGATTATTATTTTGTGTGCTTAAATATTGTCAAGTTACTATATCATGAATAATCCAATCATATTTAATTCTATATTCCTAAAAAATTGTTATTTTCTTTCCGAATTTCCACTAATAGAACATCACTTTATTGTGCAAGAAGGAATAATAAAATAGGTCTGTTCGTATATTCTTGAATTCATCACGTTTTTTTCGTGAAATTTTACCAACCATTTGATTTTTATTAAAATCGGTTCGATTCCCGTAAATGCTTGTTTACATTAACGTGATTTTATTAACTAATTGTTTATTTTTCGTTTTATTTAAATGTTGATTTTCCATCGTGCACTATTAGTTTAATTTTGAAAATCGATAAGCACCAAGAGTGTTACGATGTGGGTAAATTATAGTGTTAAGGGGTTGGTTTGTGTAATTTTAACGTTTGGGGTAAGTTTTATTTTATTAATTAATTAAACAAATTAATTTAATCGGCGTAATTGATTAAATATTTGTGTTAATAAATTTATTAGAGTAGATGTTTAATTTTGTTACTAGATCGAATAAATTACTAGATATTTATTTGTTCTACTAAGGGTTGATATTTAGATTAATTTTTAAATAATTTTCTTGTTGGATTGTTCGTGTTTTATTGTTTTTTGGAATATTTTTGTTGGAATAAGTTTTATTGTAATTTGTAATTATTTTTTCGTAGTTTTTTTTTGTTAAAATTTAAGGATTTTTCTATCTTTTTGAATTAAATTCCATTTCTAGAAATTGATAGTTTTTAAGGTTGGAGTTTAGATTAAGGTTAAGTTTAGGTTAGAGTTCGTTCAAGATCAAATGCATTTTGAAAATTTATTCTTTATTCAATTTATTCAATTTGTTGATTTTATTTGACTTTCATAATTATTCAATCCAATCTATTTCAATCCAAACTAAATACAGCACAATAAAATACACTAATTTATTTAAGTAACATTATTAATCCCCTCGTATTTTTGGATGCATTCAGGTCATTTCTCGAGCTACACCCGTAGATTTAGACTACGACAACAGTAAAAAAGTCATAACCAAAAACCCCAATCAACACCCTTTGGGACTCCACAACTCCAATCAACAGTACACCTCCATATGCTGGGCAGAATCGTTGATAATAACCGAAAACAAGCACACCAAAAACCAAACCGTCTCCAAATCGTACTCCATAATTCTCGACACCCCTGAGAAGCTCCAGCAAATGCACAACGAAGACGAGAACGTCACCTGCGTGGAAATCCTAGGTAAAACCCGCCACTTCGACCCCATCCGAACACTCTTTTTCATTTTCTCCACCTTTTTCCAGAACGTAACTCCAAAGTCAAGGAGCAACTGAACTTCACCACGTTGAGGGAGGACGAGGACTCCATCACCAAAGAGCGCAAAAGGTCCTTTTGCGGAGCCGGGCCCGTCCTGTCGCACCATTTCATCGTCTGGCCCAAGCTCAATCGCAGACAGATCGAGATCAGCATCAACCCTTTGAGCTCCACCAAGTGGAAGCACTGCCAAGACGCCGTCGGTGATGATGTCGATGATAAAATCGAATTGAATTCTACTCCCAAAAGAAACGGTAAGATCCTTTAATGTTTCATTTATCTGTCGCAGTAACTGTATCTACTTTTTTTCTGACTGCTCTGGAAAACTTGTTTGCTTTCTTCAAAGGTTATTTTACTGTTATTTTTATGCACTTCCTAGGTATACCAACAACTCTCTTCTAATCTTCTTCTGAGGTTCTCTGCACTTCCACGGTTTCCCACGAACTTTCTTGTGATCTTTATCAGCTGTTTTTTCACTATTTTCTTATGCACATTGACTCATTTCTTGGTATACCAGAAACTCTCATCGGATTTTCTTTGAGGTTCCTTCACTATTATTTTATGCATTCTTCTGATCTTTTTCAGACGCTTTTTTCTCAGACTCTTCTTCAGCTATCCCAGAACTCTTCTTCTGGTCTCCTCCAGAAGTTCTTTCATCCTCATACCTATACACTAATGGTTCGTCTTCGCATTTCACGAATTTCAATGCACTTTTATCATCTTCTTGCATTTACACCAACTACAGTCTTACCACCTTCACCTGAACCTCCCAACCTCTCCTGATAGGGATAAGGACAGGTACTCATTGCTACATTTTCCAGGCGGAAAAACCCGAAGCGTGGCCGAAGACGGCGAAGAAATCAGCGACGGGACCTTCGAAGAGGCGCCGGCGTCGAAGGCGAAAAACAAGGTGGGCGCCGCGCACGGGGGCGGTCGGGACGAGGTGGTGGGACTCCCGGAGCCGGAGCTGAAGCCGCCTGCGAGGACGACGCCCAAGCCCAAGCCGAAGCCGAAGAGGACGCCGAAGAATTCCGTGACGAATCGGCGTTACAGGTGCCCGCAGGACCTGCTGAGCATGTGCAGCAAGATGCTGGCGAAGAGCGACAACCTGCTGGGCCACAAGAACAGCAAGGAGGCGGTGTTCGGGAAGTGGTTTTTTCTTAACTCCACTGACGTTAAGTTGGACAGTGATTTGCCTTTTAAGATGAAGATTAAGATGATCGTCATCGTGGAGAGTGTTGCCGACGAGAAGAAACGATCTAAGTTGATTTTAGAGGAGGAGTCTCTGTTTTATCCCAACATCAGGAAATATCATAATTAACAGACAATATCGTTAAACTTAGCTAAAATATTTATCAAGCTCTGTACAAATTAAAAACACGTAGTTAGCACAACATTTTCAATTATTGTATTTTTGAGGAATATTTTTAAAAGCGAAAATATAATTTTATAATGTTTTTCTACTTTTTTTATACGAGTGCAATAAAATCGCCCGGTTACAATAATTAATAACACGTACAAAATTTCCCTGCGAATTTCCTTGATTAAATTTTGTCGTTAATGCAATGCAATAAAAACACATTCGCTAATAAATGCTTGTGTACTTTAAATAAAACTATTATAATTAATGTTTGCGCACATTTATCTATCCAAACAAAAGTCTTGAAAGATTGCGTATAAAAGTTAGACAACTCGAAAATTTATTCAAATTTAAACAAGTTTACTTATTAATTCTTAATAATGAAGAGTTCCTTAGTTTTCCTCCTTATCGTAAGTACTCGTAAATAGAAATAAAATTCGCCTACTCTTCCAATTAACGTGTAAAAACAACGCAAACAAAACTAATAAGAAACGCATCGATTTCACTCTAACAGATTTTTAACTATCAAACAAACTCCAGCTAATCAAGTAATTAAATATACGCGGGCAATTATCGCTTAATTTTTTTTCTTTCGCTAAAGTAAAAGGTATTAATTACAAGTGTTTTTTTCCAGTGTTTACCGGCGCTGTTTCGCTGCACCAACGGGCAAAATTGCAAGGGACCGGGCATAATAGAGAACCCCAACGTGCCGAATTGCAGGTCGTTTTTATGGTGCGTTAGCTTCAACACCACCAGCTTCAGGGAGAACGTTTTCACCTGCCCCCCATCGAGATCTTTCAACCCTGCTATAGGAAGATGTGACGCTACATATCAATGTCCTAGTAGTACTACATCCTCATCCAGTACTACTGAAGCTACTACTTCTCCTTCGACTAATCCTTCACCCAGTACTACTTCTAGTACTCCTAGTTCTTCACCCAGTTCTTCTACTAAACCCTAAATATTAAGTTAAAAACAACATAACAATGTTGTTATTAGAATAATAAATGTTGTTGTAGGCTTGTTGTAATTTAGAAAATTGTGCATCTAATAAACTTAATCAATAAATTATATGGAGTCCTTTATTTTTCACGATTATTATTTTGTTATCTATTTGTTTATTTTAGCAAATTTAAGAAATTTATAGGATGCTTGTATTATGTAGGTAACTAATAAAATATAAAGAAAATAGAGCTCCATTTTTTTCACCCTGTATAATTATCCTATTTTACTACTTATTAGTGCTTACCTGTATACAGCGTGAACCATATGTAATGTCAATTTTGGTTTTTTAAATTGAATTTAAAAACTACATATATTCACCTCTAACTGAAACCCCCTCAGTATGAGACTTTTCAAATTAGACAGAGATTAGATTAGATTTTTCAAATTAGACTTGAGATTTTTCAAATTAAAAGGACTGGTTTGGACAGGCATTTCACACCTCGTTTCAAAGACATTTTCTATCTCCTTTCGAAAGTGTTATTTTTTTTATTTATTTCTGGTTACGAATATAATGACATTAGAAATTTAATTTACTTTTGTTAACAGAATTAGTTAATTAAAATATGACAAAGACGAAAATAAGTTCTGTTGGCTAATTGCCTAATTATGGATAGTTTACAGTTTGAAATGAACTATTTTAATATGAAAAATAAATAATTCAAGTTAATTTTCTAATGCCATTATATTCGTAATTAGGCAGAAGAATAAAAAATAACACTCACGGTGGTGAGTCTCTCTAATATGTAAAAGAAATAGCATGTTTCACCCTGTATAACTACCCAATTTTATTACTTATTAGTGGTTACCTACATTTATCACTAATGCAGTTATATTACCTCTTCTTTGTTGTTACCTCTTCTAAACCATTATGGCTTCATGTGGATCCAATCTGATTTATTACACCAAACGCGCACTTAAATAAACTCAAATTCCGTGTAGGTATAATAAATTACAAATTACTAAGAGAAAGTAAAAAGTTCAAAGCGTTAATCGAGATTGGAAAAATAATAGTTGGACGATATGCATAATTGAAACTACCGAAGTATTTTTTTAGGTAAATTATTCGCGCAATTATTTTGGTTAATATTCCATAATAATAAAACCATTAAATTCCTAATGGGTTTATGGCGGGGCGATTAAAAATCTGTTTATTAATTACGCTTTGAACAATAAATCCTAATCTTCAAACATTATTTAAGCCGTTATCCGGCGAGATTAAAACGAAATCCTTCTTAGGGACCAATTCGGTGTGCAAATGCGCGAAATATTCGTTCAATAATGTTAGCCTTCGTTTCTCTGCTCCTGTTAGTCGTAAGTATTCATATTTTTTTGCTAATTTTCTTGTTGAATTATCGAAAATTTTAAAAATTATTTAGGCAATCAAAAAAATTGGGAAAAATTGAAATTTTTATTACGTGATTTTTTATGACAATTTGTAAGATAAGTATCAAATAGAAGATAAATTAATTAGCAACATTATAATATTCATAAATACTTCTATTATAAACATTAAATTATACTACCTAAAGTAATTTAATTAATTACTAAAGTTCCATATAAACTGTATGTATCAAACGTTTTAATAGTTGAATGTCTCTCTACATTTTTAGAATATGTTAGTAGAAATATTCTGAGTAACATACAAAGGTTATGCAATAGAGAAGAAACTCCAATAAAGATAAGAATACTAATAAAAATATCGAATAGAAATTTAATAGACAAATTCCTGTTCTTCAAAAATTTCCTTTCGAAAAACATTTACATCGAAACATGTAAACTTCTATACATCATTAAATCAAGTTATTAAAATGGATCCTTATTCAAAATCATCTTCATTGTTTATTAACTTGTAATCACAGCACAATTTCATTATTTACACATCGTTTTTTTTCACGCTTTTTTCCAGATTGGGCAAACCGTGTGCTCACATGAGAACTGCGACAAAATAGAGGGACTCAAACCGTTCAATCCACACCAAATCTACAAATGCACGTCCAACGGCTTCTTCGCCGATGAAACGGACAGAAATTGCAGGAAGTACATGGTATGCGCGAGAAATACACGCTCGTTCACTACTCTGTACCTAACTTGTCCAAAAGGCACTTATTTTAATCCAGACATAGAAGACTGCACGTCTGATTACGATTGTCCTTACGAGGACGAATCGGATTCCACCACTGATATCAGCGATACGTGCAATTACACCAGCGATCCCGATTATTTCAGGTGTTCTGATAGCGGGAATTTCGCCGACGATAACGACCTCACCTGCCGGTCGTACTTCTACTGCCTGATCATTCTCAAACCCGATCTGTACTTGCGGATTAAACGCACTTGCCCTAGAAACTTCTACTTCAATCGCTACACGAAGACGTGTGATGATGAGTATGTTTGCCCTTGTTCCACTACCACCAGTCGCCCTACTAGTACTACTAGGAGAGAAAGAACGGTGACTTCGAGTACCGAGACTACGAACCATGATGTAACTATTCCTTATAATGGATGTGATTACGTAGATGATCCTGATTATTTCACGTGCACTGTGGGAGGTATATTCAAGAATAAGAACGATATAACTTGTAGGAGTTACTACAAATGCACGGATTTATTGATTGGATGGATTAAAACGAAATACAATTGTCCTGCTAACACCTATTTCAATCCTTCGACAGGGGATTGCGATAGTACCTACAGATGTCCATGTTCCGCTGTTACAGAACAACCAGCGAAGACGACAACTTCACCGAAAATTAGTACAATTACTAGTCGACAAACAACAATTGATGGTGAGACAACATCAAGCGATACATGTGTTTACAATGAAGATCCCAATTACTTCACGTGTACTGTTCAGGGTAGATTCAGAAACAATAACGACAAAGATTGCAAATCATATTACTTATGTCGCTCCTTAAGAAGTGGAAGAATTATCCAAACAAAGTACGATTGTGCCGGAAATTCACTATTCAATCCAAAGAAGCAATTATGTGATGTGAAGTACAGATGCCCGTGTACAGAAGAATCTACTACAACCGCAACAAGTCCCACTAAAACATCAAGAACAGCTGAAACTTCCAGTGATAGCTCCGCAACTTCAATGAGTTCGGAAGAGCCAGATAAATCATCAACTTCTTCAGAAATAGAACATACAACTAAAGAATATTCTACTTCAAATTCTGCATCACCTAGAATGAGCACTCCTAATCAAGATTGCACATATAATGAAAACCCTGATTACTTTACATGTACCGTACCAGGTAGATTCAGGAACAACAACGATTTAGAATGTAAATCTTATTATTATTGCATCGTTTCACGAAGTGGAAGAATTTACCAAACAAAATACGATTGTCCAGAAAATTCATATTTCAATCCAAACACGCAATTATGTGATGTGAAATATAAATGTCCTTGTTCTAATCCTTCAACAGGCACTATCAGTACAACTCCAAGTACTATTGAAACAACCGTGGAAACCACAACAACTACAGTTAATGATGATACTCTTTCAACACAAGTGAGTACTGATCAGAGTACAAATGAGGACCAATCTTCTAGTGATTTACCATCAACCACAACAACACCAACCACAACATCAACACCAACAACAACAACAGATAATTCTGTTCAAACCACACCTAATGACAAATGCATTTACGACGATAATCCTAATTATTTTACATGTACTGTTAAAGGAAGATTCAGGAACAATAACGATAGAGATTGTAAATCATATTACTTATGTACCGTCTTAAGAAGTGGAAGAATTGTCCAAACAAAGTACGATTGTCCAGGAAATTCACTTTTCAATCCTAAAAAGCAATTATGTGATGTGAAATATAAGTGTCCTTGTTACAATCCATCTACAAGCACAATTAGTACCACCGCAAGTAGTACTGAAACATCCGTAGTAACCACAACCACTACAATTAAAGATGATACCCTTTCAACAGAAATTAATACTGAAGAGACTACATATGAGACACAATCTTCCACTGCTTCACCATCAACAACGCCTACCACAACATCTCCAACAACAACGCCAACAATAACACCAACAACAGAAAATTCTGATCAAACCACACCTAATGATAAATGCATTTACGACGATAATCCTAATTATTTTACGTGTACTGTTAAAGGAAGATTCAGGAACAACAACGACAGAAATTGTAAATCTTATTATTTATGTAGCGTCTTAAGAAGTGGAAGAATTATCCAAACAAAATACGATTGTCCTGGAAATTCACTATTCAATCCAAAGAAACAATTATGTGATGTGAAGTACAGATGCCCGTGTACAGAAGAATCTACTACCACAACAACTAGTCCCACTAAAACATCAAGAACAGCTGAAACATCCCCTGAAGGTTCGCCAACTTCAAAGAGTTCGGAAGAGCCAGATAAAGCATCAACATCTTCAGAAACCGAGTATACAACTAAAGAACATTCTACTTCACATTCTGCATCATCTAGAATGAGCACTCCTAATCAAGATTGCGCTTATAATGAAAACCCTGATTACTTTACATGTACTGTACCAGGTAGATTCAGAAACAACAACGATTTAGAATGTAAATCTTATTATTATTGCATTGTTTCACGAAGTGGAAAAATTTACCAAACAAAATACGATTGTCCAGAAAATTCATATTTCAATCCAAACACGCAATTATGTGATTTGAAATATAAATGTCCTTGTTCTAATCCTTCAACAGGCACTATCAGTACAACTCCAAGTACTATTGAAACATCCGTGAAAACCACAACAATTACAGTTAATGATGATACTCTTTCAACACAAGTGAGTACTGACCAGAGTACAAATGAGGATCAATCTTCTAGTGGTTTACCATCAACAATAACAACAACACCAACCACCACATCAACACCAACCACAACCACAACAACAACACCAACCACAACAACAACACCAACGACAACTACAACACCAACAACAATAAGAACAACTGAAAATTCTGATCAAACCACACCTAATGACAAATGCATTTACGACGATAATCCTAATTATTTTACATGTACTGTTAAAGGAAGATTTAGGAACAATAATGATAGAGATTGTAAATCATATTACTTATGTACCGTCTTAAGAAGTGGAAGAATCATCCAAACAAAGTACAATTGTCCAGGAAATTCACTTTTCAATCCTAAAAAGCAATTATGTGATGTGAAATATAAGTGTCCTTGTTACAATCCATCTACAAGCACAATTAGTACCACCACAAGTAGTACTGAAACATCCGTAGTAACCACAACCACTACAATTAAAGATGATACCCTTTCAACAGAAATTAATACTGAAGAGACTACATATGAGACACAATCTACTACTTCCCCATCAACAACGCCTACAACAACAATAACACCAACAACAGAAAATTCTGATCAAACCACACCTAATGATAAATGCATTTACGACGATAATCCTAATTATTTTACGTGTACTGTTAAAGGAAGATTCAGGAACAACAACGACAAAAATTGTAAATCTTATTACTTATGTAGCGTCTTAAGAAGTGGAAGAATTATCCAAACAAAGTACGATTGTCCTGGAAATTCACTATTCAATCCAAAGAAACAATTATGTGATGTGAAGTACAGATGCCCGTGTACAGAAGAATCTACTACCACAACAACTAGTCCTACTAAAACATCAAGAACAGCTGAAACATCCCCTGAAGTTTCGCCAACTTCAAAGAATTCGGAAGAACCAGATAATTCATCAACTTCTTCACAAATAGAATATACAACTAAAGAATATTCTACTTCACATTCTGCATCATCTAGAATGAGCACTCCTAATCAAGATTGCGCTTATAATGAAAACCCTGATTACTTTACATGTACTGTACCAGGTAGATTCAGGAACAACAACGATTTAGAATGTAAATCTTATTATTATTGCATCGTTTCACGAAGTGGAAAAATTTACCAAACAAAATACGATTGTCCAGAAAATTCATATTTCAATCCAAACACGCAATTATGTGATGTGAAATATAAATGTCCTTGTTCTAATCCTTCAACAGGCACTATCAGTACAACTCCAAGTACTATTGAAACATCCGTGGAAACCACAACAATTACAGTTAATGATGATACTCTTTCAACACAAGTGAGTACTGATCAGAGTACAAATGAGGACCAATCTTCTAGTTATTTACCATCAACCACAACAACACCAACCACAACATCAACACCAACCACAACAACATCACCAACGACAGCAAGAACACCAACAACAATAACAACAACAGAAAATTCTGATCTAACCACACCTAATGACAAATGCATTTACGACGATAATCCTGATTATTTTACATGTACGGTTAAAGGAAGATTCAGGAATAATAATGACAGAGATTGCAAATCATATTACTTATGTACCGTTTTAAGAAGTGGAAGAATTATCCAAACAAAGTACGATTGTCCAGGAAATTCACTTTTCAATCCTAAAAAGCAATTATGTGATGTGAAATATAAGTGTCCTTGTTACAATCCATCTACAAGCACAATTAGTACCACCACAAGTAGTACTGAAACATCCGTAGTAACCACAACCACTACAATTAAAGATGATACCCTTTCAACAGAAATTAATACTGAAGAGACTACATATGAGACACAATCTTCCACTGCTTCACCATCAACAACGCCTACCACAACATCTCCAACAACAACGCCAACAATAACACCAACAACAGAAAATTCTGATCAAACCACACCTAATGATAAATGCATTTACGACGATAATCCTAATTATTTTACGTGTACTGTTAAGGGAAGATTCAGGAACAACAACGACAGAAATTGTAAATCTTATTATTTATGTAGCGTCTTAAGAAGTGGAAGAATAATCCAAACAAAGTACGATTGTCCTGGAAATTCACTATTCAATCCAAAGAAACAATTATGTGATGTGAAGTACAGATGCCCGTGTACAGAAGAATCTACTACCACAACAACTAGTCCCACTAAAACATCAAGAACAGCTGAAACATCCCCTGAAGGTTCGCCAACTTCAAAGAGTTCGGAAGAGCCAGATAAAGCATCAACATCTTCAGAAACAGAGTATACAACTAAAGAACATTCTACTTCACATTCTGCATCATCTAGAATGAGCACTCCTAATCAAGATTGCGCTTATAATGAAAACCCTGATTACTTTACATGTACTGTACCAGGTAGATTCAGGAACAACAACGATTTAGAATGTAAATCTTATTATTCTTGCTTCCTTTCACGAAGTGGAAGAATTTACCAAACAAAATACGATTGTCCAGAAAATTCATATTTCAATCCACAAACGCAATTATGTGATATAGGATATAAGTGTCCATGTACTACTTTCACTACAGTACCAACTTCAACCTCAAATATTAGTACTACAGAAACAACTACAGTTGAAACTGCGCAAACCACAACCTCCACCAATTTACCTGACGAAAGCACGACAACAACAACAATAACAACAACAACAGAAGAAAACTGTCCATTCTACAACAGCGATCCTAATTACTTTAATTGCAACACAAATGGAAGGTTCAGAAACAACAATGACAAAGATTGCAAAACGTATTTCTTGTGCAGCAAACTCAGTAGCGGCCTATTTCTTAAAACGGAATACTCCTGTCCCGGTAACTCTTTATTCAATCCCGTTAAAAATCTTTGCGATGTATACTATAAATGCGAATGTTAATTTATTTATCGATTGTAAATATTTACCAACCCTAGTAAACGTTTAATTACGTAATTGGTTTAAAGTAGATTAGTTTTAAATATTGTTATGCCTAAATTAATAAAATTATTGAGAAAGAGATTCATTGTGTCATTTCATTATTAATGTAAAAATTGGACAAAATCAATTAACAAATAAAAATAAACAAGTAAGTAAGTAGGTAAATAAAAGTGTATGGAAACAATCGTTATTAAAGTTAAATTATCCAATTAATTTGTAAGAATTTTTTCCTCTGTTTTCATACGCAGGCACTGATTATCGAACAATTAAAAGAGAAAATCGCTCTCCTCACGTCCGTCCGCATACGCAACACAATGAAAATTAAGCAAACACATTCTAACCGGCAATAATTCGAAATACGTACCTTTCTAAAGCGATAAAATGTTTTTATTTAATGTACGCATCGCGACAACTGACACGTTCGAATTTTTCACAGGTATCATGAAACTGTCTGCGATCGATCGATCGTTTATTACCCATTGAAACTGGTTGCAAGAAATATTTAGTAAGTAGGTAAATTGCAATTTCATTTTATACCTAAATTTATTTATTTTTAGTAATTTAATGTAGGTACCTACCTGCGCTAAATGCTTTCTTGTGGTATAGTCATTCTAAAATCATTTGAAATTTTGCTTCTTTATGCAATGAACTTATACAAATTATAGAATTTTTTGAATTAAATATATAGATATTTAATTTTATCATTATAAATTGTACAGAATAAAAGTCAGATAATATTCTCTAACAAGCAACACTTCTATTATTACTTACCTCATTCTAACGTACAACAGAAGAATTAAAGAAAATTCAAATGATCACGAAATCATTTTAAACTAACAAAAAACTTTAAATTGTCAAACAATACCAAAAAAAAATAAATCGAACAATTGGAAATTGTTTCTCTCTATATTTGGCGAATTCGATAAACATTCCACGGCGACGCAGCTCTCTCGAATTTTCGTGTATTTGCATTCTTCAGGGAAAGTATCTAATAGCAAATGCGACGAGGTATGTAAATTCCGAGTTGAATTTATTGCGCGCCGAAGAGAAATAAACCACAAACTCGAGTTTCATACTAATGGACGATCAAGGCGATAAAAAGTTTCCGCATATTTTGTCAAGCCGCTTTAATTTGGCAACGACACGAATAAACATGTAAATAAGTTACCAAATTTGTCAAAAGAGTTACTCTAGTAGGTGTAGATAATTCCAGGTCCTTCATAATTCACCTAATTTAATCTAAATTGTGAGTCTTTTGCTTCCGTATTCTATCTTCAATAGAATAAGGTGCATGTAGTGTGATTCTTCATCAGAAGTCTTAATTGCTTCATCGTAAGACCGTAGAAGCTTTGGTCGAGAAGGTAGAGTTGCTTCAATTGAGACCAAGAAGAAGACTTAATATGAAGAAATTGGCATAGTACTAATGTTGGATATTATAGAACCATACATAAGCTTATACACTGTGCTTCATTCGCGATTGCAACATGGGCATTTCTATGAGTTGAACAAAGAAAGATTACTAAAATAACAGTTGTCAGAGTGAAAAGTTGCAATGACACAAATGTCACTCTTTCCTTTTCTTTTATAAGTGTCCAATTGAAGTTGTCTTTGTTGCACCCATAGCCTATGTTGCAATGAAAAATGGAGCAATATGTATAAGTAGGAGTAAAGTTTCTTCAATAAATCTCTGGCTTCTAATATCTGTGGTACATTGAAGATGTTAATGCTTGAGACATTATAAGACAATGAAGAAGAAAACTTATACTAGGAATTACATAGTCCACATCAGTAGATATTGTGGTTATAAATAATACAATAAAGGACTGCTGCATTATAATTAGAAACGGATGAAACAAGGCGGTAGTAAACGAGTTTATAATCCACTATAATAGTTCAAAATATTTGGTATTTCAAACGCATCAATCACACAGAAAAACCGGCCCGTAAAATCGAAAATACCCAGACGGAAAGTGAATTTAATCCTCACCCCCATCCGGCCTGTTCACAGGTAGTTTCTAAGCCTCGGCCGGGCGCCCCTATACTCGCATCGTCCGCGTATAAAACGCACCTTCGCGGCTCTTCGGCTCTTCATTTATCTCTTCGGCGCCGGCACAACGCGCTTCTCGACGCGGATTTATCATCAGGCTTCTTCGGCTCTTCCTTTCTGGCTTGCGTTCGTTCGTGCGGCTTTCACCGGACCCGCGGAGAGCGCCCGATTCAAAAGAGTTTCGCTGCTTCGATCCCGCCGAAGACGGGCCGGCCGGGCGTTTTAATTAATTTCGAACGATTTCGTTGTGAAGATGGTTTCGATGCGAATGCGGTCCGGATGCGGTGCGATGCACTAGCGCCAGTTTGTCAGTGGAAAATTGAATTTTTTATTATAATCGAACTGATTTTGCTTGTAATTAGTATTATTCGTTTGTATATTTGGATCAGTGGATTTTCAGTAAGTATTTTTTGAATATAGTAATCTAGAGGATCTTAATATGTATGAAGATTGGCGCCTTTGTGTTTTAACTTCAAGATATTTTATTTTACTAATAATTATTAATATTTTTGGTTACTAATTTTGGTTAGACATGAAGGCAAAAATAATATCCTCTCCAGAAGGTAGATTTTATAAAAAAAAGTATTTGATTGAAACGAAAAATTAAAGTAAGGTAGACTGAGGCAAATCGGTTGTAAAATTTGAATAGTTCAAATTAGTTCCTAAAATGTGGCTTTATTTTTTCTCTTATTAGAAATGCTAATACCACATTAAATTTACAACTTCCTAATCTAAAGAATCGAGGTATTAAAAAGTTTTTTTGAAAAAGGAAGAAAACGATTTTACATATTTTTTAAAATGTTCACAATATGTTACATTTACCCCATGGTATGGGTACAAACGGTTCTAAAGTGCAATACAATTATATAGAAAAACATATGGGGTAATTGTAAAAAAATATTTGGTTCCTCTAAAATTTGATATGCTGTTTATTTTTTTTATTTCAAAAAATAACAGAGCTACAAAATAATAAAGAAAAAATAAGAAATAAACCCTGTCTAATGCACAAAAGAACTATAAAAATGATAAAAACATTAACATAATAGGTAAAAATATTACATTTACCCCATTTTTACATTTGCCCCAGTCTACCTTAATAAGTTTCCTTACAATAATCTTACAAAATCACCAAAATCTACGTTACAAAATTCTATAATGAAGAGAAGAAAACAAAAAAAATTAAGGTAATATTTAAGTATAATCAACATAATACTCATTAGATATTTTTACTTCTTCTAGTATTAATTGTAATTAACTGGGAATACCCTATTTGTATTCCCCAACATGTTTTAATCTTGAGTTCAAAATAATAAAATTAATCAATAATCAAATATTTCGGCTTAGTTGATTATATGGCGTTTAATCTAAGTCATAAAAAATGAATTTTGATCCTAATTTACTTGAATTTGTTGCCAAACATCATAAAGAAATGTCAGACAGGATCAAAATAATAATCAAAATTTATTTTTTAATACTTACAGTATATTCCTGAAACTAACAATAAGTAAGAAATTGAAGTGAATTGATCTTCCAATACAATATTTGAATTAAAAATTATCATGGTGAAATATTCACAAGTAATAACGATACACCCTGTACAATCTACCATACAGAAACTCTTGATGGATAATAAAAACATTAATATTGGGCATAAAATCAATTTATGCACATCCATAGGTACTGTCGGTTTATTTAATGATTCAAACAAATTGGTCATGAATAAGCCTAATTACTTTTCATTTCTCTATTTATTGTGGTCGAAATTTTCACCAAATTATTCCGAAGACATTTCGCATTAACACGTACTTACATACAACATCTGTTACGTCGTGTGCAAATATTAATTAAATTTCGACAGAGATTCCAATTGCGGCGATAAAGTTTAGTCACGCGCTGCCATTCTTTAAACAAATTTTTTCTCTATTTCGAAACGAAGAAAGCTTTTCTATTTTCACCATCTCCAATATTTGCACGAGCGAGAATCATTAAATTACAAACCCCAGTTACAACATTATAAGACATTTATGTTGGCAACACTACACTAATGGCATCCGTCAAAATTGCCGCAGCCAACTTCTCGGCGAATATCCTAAATACACGCTCACCCTGTATACGAATTTAATAATTTCATTACTGACTAATGACGTTATCATCATAGGCACTTTTCCAGGGTAATCGGCGAGAAAGTGCCATTGCAAAACGCGCGTAATATTCCGGCATCGTTTAAATAAATTAATTGATGTTCGAACGAGGCGGAAATTAAAATTTCGAATTTCCAAGGCGATTAAACCCGCACGAGGTTCGTCAAACCCGCTTGCGATTTTTCCGTTGAACTCCGAGGAAGCGCCGGATACCGGGTTACGTAAATGCATTTTCGATAGCGCATAATGTAGGTGGTTTCATAATAGAATTTAATTGCCTGCGTAATTTAATTAGAATGTAATCGGCTGTCGGACATCGACAAGCCCATCGAAGGTTCGACGGGAGTCGTACGATAGTAAAAATAATCGAAATTTGTCCGGTAAAATTATTCGTAATTGAATGAATATAGGAGAAAGTTCCGATAATTGATATGAATATTTTTTTGTAATTTCAATTATGTATGTAGAAAGGACAAGTTGATAGGTTATTTACTTTTATAATCAACAATTTATTTGTGAATGTTCTAATTAACTAATTGATCGAATTAATTTTTTATTTTCTATTTCAGGTTCCAAGAGGACTTAACGTTGCTTAAGGAAATAATGTAAATGATGTATTGTTCGAAGATTTAGTAGATACTAGAATGATTAGATATAAAGTAAGTTACTCAAACTTTTTTAAAAATCATGAATTTTTTAAATAAATTTTCACCTATCGGTGACCTGCTAGACCTATCGGTCTGTAGCAAATTTTAACCAAGAATAATAAACTGTAGAGGATTGATCAATTCTATCCTATTATGACGTACACAAATTTTACTTAATTCCATTAAACAATTTAATAAGGATTTCCCCTAAATTTCCAATGTTGCCACAACATCCTCCCCCAGATTTACATGGCAACATATTTGTTGAGACAAATTCTTGCATTGTTATCATGCTTGTTTCCAATGAGTTTATTATTTTCTGCGGCTAATTTGTCTGTTAGAAACGATGAATAATAATCGCCATTACACCAATAAACAGAATAACGAAGAGAGTTGATTAGCCATCGGCGATGTTTGTGGTAACATTAGAAAAAATGTTTTTTTTTCCATCGCATTTTCACTTCACTTTTATTTCGTTTTGTATTTGGTTTTACGCTATGTCAATGTGCTGCTCTTACTTTCAATGCGCCTTTTTTTCTTAACACAATTTATAGAACGTTGACGTTTAAACGTCCTATTATGGGGAAAAAAGTTAATAACAATCAATCCTATAATTAGAAATGAAAGTGCATTCTATAGATTGATACTAGGTATGCAAAGAATAGGTTCAATAATTCCGAAAAAGATGAAAGAATAAACTCAAAACTAGGGAATTTTTGATGACGCAATACTTGTAGTGGCCGTACTGAATATTCTGACAGATGACAGGATGTTAAGAAACATAACTTTTAAAAGCTCATAATATTGGGTTTGTACAAAATAAATACGGTATTTCCGCCGCGAAACTTATATTTTTTTTCTCTATTTGCCAATTTCTTTACGTGACAAATACATAAAATGTCGTTTAAACTTACAGGCGAATCTGGGTTAAACAAACACGCTGAAAACGAAATGAAGTGAAACCGAAACGGACGATATTTGAATAATTTATTGGCGAATTTCGTTAGTCGCTCGACAGGTGCACGACCGATGCACTTGTATTCGGAAAAAGCGGTCTAATAAACACGAAAAAGTGTATCAAACTTTTTTCAGAACCGCGACACTTTCGTGTGTGATTATACAGGGTGGTCGCTCTTTTATTAACTCTTGAATAAATCCTAAAAAATACTATTCCCACGCAAACATTTGAAACAAGCACAATTGATCAACCTTTTTAATAAAATATATTTAACCAGAACATACCATTTTCTAACTCATAAGATTAGCGAATTTTAGAAAAATCCTGTTCTACTTTAAATTAAATACCTATTTACTGTATTGCAATGAAAAATTTCTAATTTATTATCCAATTTATTAGCCAAAACTAATTCGCGCAATTTCCCTAACGTAAACCGATAGCGCCATGAAAATTTACGAGATGAAAACTCGTCCTACTAAACTCCATTTATATCGATTAAACAATATCATTAATTAAGAAAAGAATCTTTCGTTGCGCATAAAAATCCATTACGTTATATTTTTTTTCGCAGATAGGTTTTTTTCTAGTCGTTGACCAGCGAAACATTGTTATTAGTGTGCAAACGTGTGAAAAATCCCACTTCTGATGCATCGTTCGATGCCTGCTAGATGGGTATTAGTGCAATTGCAATTTCTACATAAAGAAAAATCTCCAAAGGAATTATTATAAACTTTATCATTGTACTTTTCATACATGTCAAATGACTAATTTTGACAATTTAGAAGTGATATTTTGACATTTGTTAAATGTCTAATTTTGACATAATATACCTAAGAAGCTGATTGGTAAGAAAATTGAAAAAATAGTCATCATAACCTCTAATTTTACTCAATAAAAAGTTACAAAATTTAGCAGGAAGGCAACCTAATCTCCTGTCGAGAAAAATCCCTATGCACATGCAACTCGGATATTTCTACACCGATGCTCTCTTTGCTATTGTTTCATTTTTCTCCTGCAATTGACTGCGTTTATTTCTGTATGGATTTGTCGAAATGCGACGGACCGTGAGAGGTTTTTACAGTTTGCTGATAAAATAACCGTCGGTCATTTCACGCTCGCTGAGCCGTATATGCGTTTGTTACGCGGATTAGTGCCATTTAATGTACAATTATGTACCATGTAAATTAAATTACTGTTCGCGGCGACAAATTGGATTAGTAAATATGTGCAGGAATTACAATGCAAAGTGTAAAAATGAAAACGAAAGTTCAGCTCTGATTTATAATGATTAAATGATTACCGTAGTTGCAATTTGCATGTTTTGCGCAGGTTTATGTTCAATGTCGAACTGTCAAACTATCAAACTGTCAAAATCTCAAGCTGTCATCAACTGTCAAAGTATCTACAAAACCCAATAAGATTAATGTTTTCCTTGAAAATTTAATTATTTTTCTATAGCATGTTTTTTGGAGTTACATAAAATTTCACTATTGTGTCGTTGACCGAGTAATCCCGGTAGCTGAGACCACTATGTTTTATGTTATTATCCTAAAGAATTTGTCATTGGCTGAACGACCTCTTTAGTAAAGACCTGACATTACAATAAAAATTCAATAGAACAAGTTCAGCAGTAAAACGAAACAAATAGAGCATTTCTAAAACTAAAAGAAAAGATCAAAGTCAAGTTTGAATGATACATGCACCACAATTTTGCCAGATTAACTCAAAAATCAAATTTTCCACTACAAAAAACACTTGCACTTACAACGCAATGCAATTTACATTGCACCAGTCGAGGTTTGAGGGAGATGAAAGCGGGAATCTTCAATGTTTCATTTTTTTTTCTTTTCATCTGTTCGGCATTAAAATCAAGGCCAAAGAGAGTTCCATTCATGTTCGGCTAGAGCGTTTTAAACGAAAACAAAGAAAGAAAACGGCGTGCACTTGATGTATGTGCATGCACACAGGTTACCCATCTGACGCGCATTGTTCGAACGAAAACGTGGGAAACGACATGGCTAATGATAATGTACAGAGTGTAGAAGGCAAAGGTAAAATCCGATCCGGTGTTACGTTTTTTTTCATTATTCCGAGTAATCGAAAGTGATGAAAAAAGAGAAAATTATTAGGAAAATCCATCGCTAGTTTCACTTTTTTTTCTAAACCATTCGTACAAGCGATTTTAATTTGAGGAAAAATGCGGAAATCCTAGTTAAAACATTTCTAGTGTAACAGGAGAAAACTATACGGGGCGTTCCAAATATGACACGTACATACATAATTTAACATCCATTAAATAAATACAAGAAAGTTACCGTAAATTTTAAATATAACCAGATGGGTGATAAAAATGAAAATAATTAAACTAAAAATAACACAAACTCTCACTTATACTCATAATAATAACCATAGTATATGAAGTTTATTACTAGACACCCTGTATTAAGAAGAATATTTAAGAAAACGCCTAGAAATTACCTGAATTATAAATTGTTTAATACTAGCATACTGACAAATTTTTAGAATTGAAGAACAAATTTCTTTCTGCGTTCCTCCTCTCATATTTCGTGTTTAAACAACGCATTTTAGCGACACGAATAATTATTTATTTTTCGACCGTAATGCATACAAACCTTTTTAAATAAATTACCCGACCAATTAGAAAGAGAAAGTTTTTCGGACGGTCTTCAAATTTACGAACCGTACCGGAATGAAGAAGAAGAAGATTTCGGATCTTAGCTAGTTAGTTAATTAATTTTAATTTACCCGTGCAATATTTACCTTTTTGCGGCTACCGGTGGTACCGGCGTTTAGAGGAAGAGTACACGGCTAATGGCTGTACGTTTTCACGACCAAGGCCGGAGCGCATCGGCTTCGAATCATCTCCTCGACAGTGACCTAGAAAAAGGAAAGAAGAAAAAAATCTGTTAAAAATGTGTTATGTGAACCGTTTCACTTTATTGTTAGGAGCGATTATTAGAGATTATGAAAAATTATTTTCTCATAACGATCGCCGGGGTATTTAATAGCAATATAATTTCGGTTCGTTTTTTTTTCGGCGATAGCGAAAGCGAAAATATCGCACGAAAATTGCCTTGTATTTCGTGTAAATTATGGTTTTATTGTGGCCCGCCCGATTACCAGATTTAAGACTATTAGTTTTTCTTTGCTACCGTAAACTAAACCTCTAGCCTTTGCCTCTAACTAAACCATAGCCAATTTTATGAGGCTCCACAAGATTTGAGTCGCTACTTTTGGCAAACAATGCATTTTACTTAAAAAATAACCTACAACTGAAGAGCATAATTAACAACTAATTAAATTTCCAGAATTTCCTCCTTCTCCTCGTCTGCCTAACGTTGTCGATAAAATGCGAAATCGCCCAACCACCGAGAAAAGACGCGCACGACGGCAACATCGCAAACGCCATACAACAATCCTCAAAGAACGATGGTAACCCTTCCAAACCATCAGGATGGATATTCTCCCGCTTTAACGCCACCCATCAGAGGAAACCCAACGAAGATCAATTGCCCGCATCGGCGGAATTCGGCGGGTACCACTACCTGCCGCCGCCCGACGATCACGCCGATTGCAACCCTTGCAACCAGGAACCGTGGGTACCCATAGCAGGCCATAATAAATATCAACACGATTTTTCTAGTCTTTCGCATAACGTAGATAATATTTTACCCAACAGCGGGTACTCCGGTTTGTATGGAATACCTCCCAGCATCGATTACGGTGTTCCCAAACCCTCTTACGGACCTCCCAAGAATCCCAAGCCTTTGTACGGTCCTCCAAAACAGCATTATGGACCGCCCAAACCATTGTACAGACCACCAAAGCCGCTTTATGGGCCACCGCAGCAACAATACGGGCCACCTAAACCATTGTATCTGCCGCCTAAACAAGAATATGGTCCACCAGTACCGTTGTATGGACCTCCCAAACCGGAATTCGGTCCACCAAAGCCTTTGTACGGACCATCTTCAGGGGACGATGTTATTTTCGATTATATGATCCCTCCTCCAGTGCAATATAAGATACCTGCCATAATGTACGGACCTCCGAATTCTAATTATGGACCACCCAAGCCGAATTACGGACCACCTAGGCCGAATTACGGACCACCAAAACCTAATTATGGACCACCAAAACCCAATTATGTACCGCCGAAGCCTAATTACGGACCACCCAAACCTATTTACGGACCACCCAAGCCTGAATACGGCCCTCCTAATTCCATATTTAACCCACCTCCAATACCGCTGCACCAACCACCAGAACTAAACTTCCTCCCGCCAAGCATTTTCAATCCCCCCCAACCGGACGCCAATCCGCCGCAAGTCCACGCGGCGCCGAATCCGCCGCTATTCGAGCCTCCTCAGCCGGACTTTACCGTCCAACACCTACCGGCGCCGACTCAAAGCGCCGATTCCACCGAATTCCACCGGTCCCCCGCGTCCGATTTCGTCCCACCGTCGCTAGACAACTCCTACGGCGGCGCCGTACCGCCGGCGCCCCATCAGCAATTCGCAGACAACCCGTCGCCGCAACTGGCCGAAATCCCGCTGGACAACGGCTACATTCCGGCGCCGGCGCCGTCCGACAGCTACGGCGACCCGGTGACCGACGACGGCTTCCAGTTTAACCGGCAGCAGGACTCGCAGCCGGCGCCCAGCGGCGACGGGGATCCGTCGGCGAACGCCGACCTGCCGAACCATCGGTTCAACGCCGATTACCCGAACCTGGGCCCGGTGCAGTCGGCGCCGATTTACGATTTCGGGAATTTCCGCGTCGCCGACGACGCGGTTCAGGTGCAGAAGAGCGTCAAGGTGGCGGATTACGTGGCGTCTGTGGAGCATCCCATCAACGTGGTGCAATCGCCGCTGGTGGAGCTCCACATAAACGAGGATACCGAGCAGGATTACCAAAATAATTACACGCGCATCGCCAAGAACCACCAGAACGATGTAGAGCCGTACAAATTAAGCGATAATCCTATTGTAGTGGACGATACTCATACGGCTGCTAGTACCATCAATACCAACGTTTCTAATTACGGCAGCTTCGAGGATCAAGCGAATGTAATCAAGCAAATTTTGATACAAAAAGGTATACTGAAGCAACGCGAAAGGAGTACTGGAGTTTCTAATTCGATGGTCCCGCCTTCTCCAAACAGCAAATCCACTTGGGAATCGACTAGTACGGTTAAACCGGTTCAAATTATAGTACCTTACACGAAGAGCTACACGACTCTCATGCCCACTTACATGCCGCCCACGCCCACCCAAAGCTCCGATTGGTCGAAGTACTTAACAACCAAACCGAGCAAAACCTCCATCCAAAGTACCGCCGTTTACAACATCAAAGACCTAATAGGCGCCAGCGACAATCGTACCGGAAAGGAATCCCTACCGTTCGACGTCATATCCCTGCAGAAGAACATCGACGATTGGACCCACCAATCCTTCTCCAGCGGGAAAACCGTAAACCTGCCCCAGAAGCGGATCCCAGCGGAGTTCTTCACCACGCCCGATCCTCCCACCAGCTACTCCAACGACATCTTCGACCACCAGCTGGCCGAATCGTCTCGAAAGGAGACCGCGGTGGACGCGGACATCGAAACCAACGTGATAGTCGCAGCCGAAGCGGCCAGCACGGAACCCGCGGTCACTTCCACCGAAAGCGCCCGCCAGAGGGAAGCGGAGAGGTTGCAAAAGTCTTCGTGGAAGTCCGCCTACGTGACCGTCAGCCCGCTCACCAAGGAGAAGGTGTACGTGGTGACGCCGCAGGCGTACAGCTTCGTCACCGCCAATCCGGCGGAGGCGGACGCCTGGAGCATGGCGCCGCGGGTGGAGAACGGCACCGCCACCAATGACGCCTCCAAGTCGCGCAAATTCTCCGTGCGGATCGAGCCCCAGCGGGCCGGCTCCGGGGAGAAGGCGCCCAAGGACTCCAAGAGCGCCGTGAAGGTGGTGTACAGCGAATGGCCGCATTTAAGTGAGTTCTTGCTCTCTTCTTATTGTTAATTATTAATCTTAAGGTGTAAATGTAAAATGTTTTTAAAGGTTCATGATTCCTTGGTTCAAGTAGAGAGGATGAAGTTTTTTATTGAATGTTCAAAACTTACTCCAGGTGTTCAATATTATCAATTGCATAAATGTTCTTGTTCAATGTTTGATTCTTTCTTCAATGGATTAGTTGTGATTAAGAGGACTTTCTTTACTTTTTTTCAAGTAGTTCATGTTAATATTTTCTGATTATTTTGTATTTATGTGCTTTATAACCAATATTATCATCCACATCAGTTATTACTAGCCCTCTTTTGATCAATTCTTCGTAGATTGAATTGGACGTTGGAATTGGAGAAGCTTTTTTTCAAATTTTTCCGATTCTTTTTCCAAAATTTGCTCAAAATGTTGATCTCATAAAGGGTCTAGATTTTTTATTTACCCAACTATTTCATTCTTCTTGTAATCATTTAAATTTTAATACATGGTCTAGTCTAGTCTCTCTGGTCTAGTCGAGTCTAGTCTCTAGTCTCTAGGTTTTCTCACACTAGTTCTTCTACTGTCTAGTTCTTCTACTGTCTAATTCTTCTAGTCCTAGGTCAACTTCTCTCTAGTTCTTCTAGTCTCTAGTTTCCTAGTTTTAGTTTTTCCAGTCTCTAGTTCTTCTAGTTTCTAGTTCTTCGAGTCTCTAGTTCTACTAGTCTCGTTAATCTACTAATAACACTTGAATATGTATATTTTATTTCCTCCAATATTTCATTTCTTCAGATCAATATTCATCAATTCATCCAGACCTTTCATCATCTCATCCACTCCTCCTCTTGGTCACTTCTTCATGGATTCAACTCGAATCAAGATTCCTTCCAGACTGTCAAATTTCAGGCTCCACACTCCAAATTTCTATATTCGTAACAACGTCCTTGCAACGTTGCCAAATTGCAAAATTTCCCCTAACATTCAGGATTTTCGAACAAACATAATTTTTATAAATGTACCAATTTCTTTTAGTAAACAATCTTCAAACTACGACGGCGAAACCCACATCGGTGCATCCGCTTTTCGGGCTGATGGGCATCACGGCGTACACGCCCCCGTCCAACGCCACAATCGAGACGTTCGTGGGGCACTCGAAGGTAAGATTCTCCTAAAAACAGAGCGATATCTCTTGTCCTAAACGCGGGTGAAATCAAACGATATGATAGATAAATCTCCATCTTTCCTCGACTTTTTCGCCGCTAATCAGAGAGGTCGTGGGACCTGGGAGCTGTTTTAATTATCGAAGCGAAAACAATCGTTTATTGTGTTTTGCGATTACTTTAAAAATTTCCCCGAGATTGCGCGTTAATTAAATGATTTATGGTTTTATAAAGGAGCTTGCGTTGTTGTTTTCAGGTGGTCACCGTGGTGACGCCGTCGTCGAGGATCGAGGCAACCAAAGATTCGTGAATCAGAAGTGGGATAAATATAGGATGTACGAATAAATATAGGTTTTGTAACTGACGAAAATCTCAATTATTATTGTAACAGGAACTTACTTGGTGTATTTGAATGCGTAATTTATGGTAGTTTCCGTTACGAGCGAAATGAAGAGAAACTCTTTCGATTCTAATATAATTCGTTAAATTTTATTTCTTACTTTTTAGACCTCTTTTTAATGAATTATACATGAATAATTTAGGTAGTAATATTTATTTTTTGAAATTTAACCATTCAACTTTTGTATATAACTAACACTTGAAGAACAAATAAAATTATATATTTTCAAGTAATCTTCAGTTTTATTTAAGAGCTCTTCATTGGTAAGCACTATATATACTATAGATTTCAAAATACAATAGATGTATTTCAATAGCTTTCAATCAATGTTTGAATAACTGCTTTCAATCAATCATTCAAGCCATTACCATTTTGAGCACATACGAGGTATATTCAAATACTAGTACTATTGAATATCCCTTGTTTTCTATTGTTTATTAAGTAGTAGATTTTTATAATCACTATATCTAGCTATTTGTAGATAGCTAGATGTACTTACTGAAAATCATTTATTACATTTAGGCAACCCCTCGTATTAACACAAAATAAAGAAGAGATTTATAGCATCAGATATCGAATTAAAAGCGATCTACACAAACACAATTTCTCACAAAGTTTGAAAAAATGTACGGCAAACAAACTACGCACGAAATAATGAAATATTACCTGATGATGAAGCAAATAGCTGGATGTTTCCCATTGGGCAATGTTCTAACAGACGATCCGAAGAAAATATTCTTCAAATGGCTGTCCTGGAGAACAGCTTGTACTTTAATTTTGGCCCTGTTCTCGTTTGAAGAAGGCGTGAAAAGCGCTTATGTTCATTGGCATGATAACACTAATAACCGCATTCACTTAAGTAAGTAAAATTCAAAATAAATTTCATACCATAAACTATACCCCTTTGAGGGTATTTAAGGGAAGAGAAATTTTGTTTGCTTCTAAAATTTTAAAAATCAAAGCATGCTATGGAATGTAAAACTACACACAAATAAATAAAATACTAACAAAATAAATGTATACATAAATTCTTCTTCATCAGACGAATTTATACTCAAAGTTTCGAAATTATTCATCTTACAAAACTGTCAGAAAGTGTAACAGAAGTTATGTTATAGTTAAATGATACTTTAGCCCGGTAATGTCAAAAAATCGAAAATAATAATGAAAAAATAAGAAACAATCCCTGTCTAATGCACAAAAGAACTATAAAAATAATAAAAACATTAACATAATAGGTAAAAATATTAAATTTACCCCATTTTTACATTTGCCCCAGTCTACCTTACTAACTTTAAACCCACATTAGACATAATGAATCCTTTAAGTTGATTATGAAATCAGTAACTTCTATTAAAAGATCCTTTAAAGTCATTCTAGATAAATGCGACGTTGTCACGTTGTTCTGTTTGCCCTTTTTGGAGATTTTCGGTAACATTTTGGGATAAATTCCAGTTCCGTTCGTGCTGAACGTGAACGGTGCGGTCGCACTTTTCAACTCCATTTTCATGGCGAGACGGTGGAGGAAATTCGCGTGGAAACTGTCGATTGTCGAGAGAAGATTAATTGTGGAGTACGGGGAACCGAAACGTTTGAAATTACTGATACATTTGTTTGCGCTAGCGTACATTCTAATTGGAGTCAGTAAGTAAATTCTACTCATTTCTTGCGTTTGCTGGCAGTTACATTAAAATACTAGTGTTTTAATGGAATGCATAAAATCACAGATAAGTATAATCGATGTCAAATTGCTATAAAATTTGTTAATTATTTTTAGTTGAACACAGTATAAATATACGCGTTCATAGGTTCGGTACTGCTTGTTTTGACATAAACTGTTTCTTCAATTGGGTAAAGCTTTGAATTTTCTAAAGTTTTCTGAATTTTATTAATTGTCTGCTGCGTAATTACAGTTAAATGGTTGGTACACATGGTTTTTATGGATAATAGGATATCTGTTTATAATAAATTTGAGTATAATTTTCTCCGCGAGATTTAAACATTTAGCGGACGCTTTGGAAGAGCAACTGAAAATGTATAATAGCCAAAATGAAGAGTCTTATTTTGAGAATGTGCGTAATATGTAATTTATTAACAAAATTGTAGATAAAACAATTATTTTTTTAAGTTGAAATTGTAAAATTTATGTCATTTAAGGAACAATTTATAAACTTCTGTAAGCGACTAAGCAACAACTACAAGCAATTAAACGCCAGTATGCAGGAATTGGACGACATTTTCGGACATTCACTACTGCATCTTTACGCTTTCAACATTTTATTTATTCTGATGGTTCTCTTCAACGGTTTAAAGTGAGCATATAAGATATCAGGAGTATAGTAAAAAGTTTTCAATCAACATTTCCAATTTCCTTTAGATATTTCAAAGATGTAGAAACCCTTCGGTTCTTCTTCTCGTTCGGTTTCGTGATATTGAAATTGATTTTACTAAGTATTTTCTCGGCTCGAATCAGCGACCAAACCCGTCGATTGGCTAAAATAATTTACGGAGTACCGGAGGATATTTGGAACGAGGATGTAAGTTCAACTTCAATGCTCAAATTGTTTATCTTTCTTAGATATCCTATACAGGGTGGCCCAGAACTCACGCCCCTCCGAGAAATGCTTACTGGAAACGACAATGGAGATGCCAAAACTGCAGCCAAAAACATGAAAATGTTATTCCTTTGGTAAATTAAGAGGTTCAAAATAGACCAATCCCAGTAGGAATTCAAATCCACGAAAATGACGTGAATTAGCTATACACCAATTAGACATTATTGAAAGATTCTATCTCCTTTTCACTTTCAAGGTTAACAAAAGTTGCTAAAATCAGCTGTGACTATTGATCAAAGATTTGCTTCCAAATTGATTATTCAAGAGCTCCATCGTGCCGATACCAAACCTACAGATTTTTTTATCGCTTCAAAAGTGGTTCGAATCGAATGATCCATTTTTTGATCGATTTTAAAGCAAATATTTGATCAATAGTTACAGCTGATTTTGGCAGCTTTTGTTAACCTTAAAAGTGAAAAGGACAAAAGAATCTTTCAATAATGTCAAATTGGTGTATAGCTAATTCACGTCATTTTAGTGGATTTAAATTCCTACTGGGATTGGTCAATTTTAAACCTCTTTATTTACCAAAGGAATAACTTTTTCATGTTTTTGGCTGCAGTTTTGGTATCTCCATTGTCGTTTCCATAAGGGATTTCACGGTGGGGCGTGAGTTCTGGGTCACCCTGTATACTAATCCAATATACTAATCAACTTTTAAATAGAATTAATCTTAATAAAACGCATTTTAGCTAGAAAAACTCCTTCAATACGTTCACTTGGAACCAGCTGAATTAACCGCGAACAAATTTTTCGTTATAAACAGAGGCTTGTTATTGAACGTAAGTGGTATGAAACTCAAAGAAATCCATAGATTTCGCTTAAAAATAAATTATTTTCAGATTGCATCTACGGTAATAACATACGAAATTATGCTGATACAATTTATTGAGCGGTTCGACGTTAAAAACTAATAAAAACCGCAGTAAAAAAAACTCATCAAAATTCGTTTCGTCGAATTAATTAGATTTTAATACACTTTTTAGCAATTACAGAAATTAGTGGAGAAGATTAAAAATTCCCATACGAATAACTGATTTAATTACAAACTAATTTAATGAGCTCCTACAAGTGTTTGCTATGTTACACTTTTTCGTTTGCGTACGCTTTTAACATTAGCGCTTTCATTGAATGTGTCGTTAAAACAAATTAAAGAAAGTAAATTTTCATATTCAGCCGTTATTATTCTGCTCATATTAGCCCGGTAGGTACATAAATATGCCATTAAATTTTTAATGCACACATTGTTAGCAACATATCACGAAATCTGTAAAAACTGTACCGTTACAAAAAAATAAAATATTCTAATTAACCGGCATTTATTGTGATCGTTTGTGGTAGAAGTTTTAGCGTATGCGGTTTTTAAATTGAAATACGATTTATTAATTTCCCTTGTGCTACATTGACAATTGACTCGCACTATCTGTATATCTAATTTGTTAATTGCACATTTAATGGTGATGTTATCTTGTCCTCGAAATACTCAATTTATTGTTCTCTTTAATGGTAGTAATCATTGTTCATAAATAACATGTCGGGTGAACTCGTAATTTTCAGTAAGGAACCAGAAAGGTAAATGATATTTTAATAAGAGAGATGACAAAAATTTGTTACTTACCCTTAATTTCGTTGTCAAAAAGGACTAAACTAATTCGTTAGCACCTAATAGAAGAGTCAGGCAATAGAGGTAGGTACAATAGCGTGATAAAATGTACCTAAGCATGAAGAATAAAGGTAAATTGGACGCACTAAAAGCAATGTATGAAGGTAGGTACTAGCCCATTTTTTTATCGAGAAAATAAACAAATTATTGCAGAAATGCAAGCTAATTTACACTCCGACACCGGTTTGCACAACGACGTGAAATACATCATAAGATTCGCCCAATTTTTCGGGCTATTCCCCCTAACCAACACGCTCGACAATAATTTTAAAGAAGTTCGCTTCAAATGGCGTTCCTTTTTCACCTTTTACGCCATCTTCTCCATTTCGGGAACGTCTGCGCTCTTCATGTTGAGCTTCGTGAGACTGTGCTTGTCCGATTTCAAATTGCATTTGCTCGGTAAGTACAGTAAAATTCGCCCAGTTAGTTCCTTGCCCTAATTATTGTACATTTTTTTAGATAGTTCCATCTTCTGTTTGTTTACATTAATAATATCGATCGTATTTTTTCGACTCGCTATGAATTGGTCCAGGTTTCTGCGAGATTTCAACAAAACGGAATGTATGTTCAAAAACTCGCCTTATCAACGAAACATGAGACCCAGGTTTATCGCGATAGTGCTTGCTGTTACATCTGCTATGTTTTGTAAGGACTTTATTTCTTCCATGAGCTAGTAGAGCTAGTATTGCTAGTAAAGCTAGTAGCCATATACACATAAGTGCAAATTTGTACGTAATGTGGGTGCAACAAATACAACTTCCATTAGTTTAATAGAAAGGAAAATGAAAGAGTGATTTCTGGGATTGCAACTTTCTTACTCTAGCAACTAGCAACTGTTGTTTACTGCAACTGTTGTACTGCAACTGTTGTAATAATCATGCATTGTTCAACTCGTATAATGACAATATTGCAAACAAATTTGCACTTACCCACATAACAATTGCATAATTTTATCTAGGTGTTTTTTAGTGGAACATTTACTTGCCGTTTCAAATACATACCTAAATATGGACCTTCAAGAGATCGATAAAACTAACAATACTCGATTAGAGGAATATTTTAAGGAAGAATATCCGTTTATTTTCGATTATGTACCTTATTCTTTGCCGTTGGGTTTGTTGGCAATGGTTAGTATCTATTATTGCCAAAAAAAATATAGTAGTCAAATATCTTTGTTAATTATACTCGCCACAAATTGCCCCCCCAAAAACTTTTCAATCGGTTGCACAAGGCACGTTTAAAAAACGAATTTTACTCTGTGTCACCCTGTATCTCCTGACGGCGAACGGATTATAGCATTTTTCTACACCCAATAGAATTTTGGGCCACCCTATATTTCGTAGTTTAGTTGCCAAACGGCAGAGTAACAAAATGATAAAATGATACTTACACGAGTTTCGTAAGAAATAGTAGGCTTGTTCTTGTGACACAAAAATCGTTCAATTTCAGCACATCAACACTTGCAACGTTTTTTATTGGAGCTTCATCGATAGTTTCGTAATGATAATGAGTTACGCGGTGGCCCATAGATTTAAACAAATCAACGTTCAATTGAAATTGAGCATTAAAAAGAAGGTAATTATCGGTAAAATTAGCGCACTAATTAAATTTAATTGAAATGTCAAAAGTTATCACTGACATTGACAGTTTGCACGAAACAAAGAGTTACTATAAGGAAGTAGAAAGATTAATATGTTCTATAATAATTTTTCAACAGCAAAAAAATTAGAAAGAAAAAAATATAAAATAAATAACTATAAAATATCATTAATCTGTATAGGTATAGCTAATTGAAGAAATATTTTGAATGATTTTTAATAATTTTTAATCTTGATGAACTGTCAAATACAAAACAATCAGAAGGCTCCTAGATTTATTTACGATTATATTTTGTTGGTTGAAAATAATCATTTTTAGCACGATTCGACAATTTACTGGAGCAAAATTCGAGAACAATACACCCAAACAGCGATTTTATGCCAAAAAGTGAACAAAAAATTGTCCGGTATAATTTTAGTTTCTATGGGAGCCAACATGTATTTCATAGTTACTCAATTATACAAGGGATTGGTGTAAGTTGCACCAATTTAGATGCACTAATTGCTTATAAAACACACCATTTAACGTAAATTTCATACACACAAAAGTGCAAATAAGTACGCAATATGGTCTATGGGTGCAACAAAGGCAACTTTCATTAATCTCATAGAAAGGAGAAAGAAAGAGAACCTAATATTGTGGGAATACAAATTTTTCACTCTAATTACTGTTATTTTAATAATCTTTCTTTGTTCAACTCATAGAACTGATGACCATATTGCAAACAAATTTGCACTTACCCATATTTCATAGCGTTTTAATTAATATTTTCCCAATAACATAAATTAAATTTTGAGTTTAATACCTACCATTTTTTATTTCTAGAACCAGGAAAACTATTGTAGATCAATGTTATTTCATCTATTCATTCAGTGTGTTAGTTTTAAGGACTGTAAGCGTTATTATGCATGGGTCTATGGTATTTTCTCAATCTAAAAAGCCCCTTAGTTACCTAGTGTCCATTAAAAACGAGGCTTTCAACAACGAAGTAAGTATTTAAATTACTTATTGTACAAATTGAACCAAGAACATCTATAAGAGTTTTCTTTACGTTGAATATTGAATACCCCCTTATTTTAATTAGCATTATTCCAAATTAGATGAATAGTAAATTAAAAGGAAAAATTTCATTTATAGACGAAAAGATTTATCATGCAAGTATACACTATGGACACGTTTTTGTCGGGAGGGGAATATTTCATTTTAACGAAAAGTTTGTTGTTTCAGGTAAGGAAATTCTAATTACCTACCTATTTTTTTTCATAAAGATATTAAAATGATTGAAAATTTGTGTTATTTTTTCAGATGGTTGCTTCCGTAATAACTTACGAACTGTTCATGGTGCAAGCTGGTATCTCAATTTACCTATAAAAACATCGAAAATTAGATCATAAAGAAAATAAAGAAAAATTAGATTAAAAGGAAAATAAAAGAATATCTATTGTAGGTGCTTAAAAATGTATATTTTTCAAAAAAAATATATAGCTACTATTTTATCCGACATTGTTATATTTAACCCTAGTCGTCCAGAAAGTTAAGAATGTTTAGGCATAATTAGCTAAATAAAAATGAAACAACCAAATGTTATTTTTTAAAAAGTATGTTCAGTGGAAGATATTTTTTAAAGTTCTTCAATTTCCCTAGAATAAATCAAGTAACATCAACAAACAACTTTCCTGCTACAAATTCATCGCCTCTGCGATAATTATGCCATAATCCATCAAAGTTTATCGAGATTTCACATGTTTGTATTTGAGCCAGTCCTTCAGTGGGTGCTCGATTTGTTACGAATACACAATATTTTGTGTTCTATACTAAATAGAAGCCTGTCGACAAAACAAATATTTTTCAAACACAAAACAGGACCGTAATAAGTTTCTTTCAGAGATGTACGTATTTGAAAAGAAACAAAGGAATTAATTAAAAGATTAGAGAATTAGAAAGAAAAATTGATTATGCTGGGCATTCAAAAATTGTGATTCGGTTTTTAAAGAGTTTTTTCAATATAAAACAAGCAAATTTAACCATTTTTTTAGAATATTTTAATAAATTACTCGATATTTCAGATGACTTTACACATAAATTAAACGAATTTTTTGAACATTTGCATTAGCATTTCCTCTTTATTCCAAATAACATTAAGCCCACCGCTCACGGAGCAACTGTTTTGAAATAAAGATTTCAATTTAGTTTAGTCTGTAACCAGTTTACAACTAATATTAAACTTCTGTACGCACACGGATGCGACTATTATAAAATAGTTTCAATCAATTGCCGTAGTAATTTATCGAATGTCGAATGAATCACACCAGAAATTGGGAAGAATTTAAAGCAACTTGAAACTGCAAAGCGACTGCGATCGCGGGAAATGGTCGGGTACAACGGGTTTATGACTCATTGCAAACTAGTTTCATTTGAATCGACTTGTGTGCGGTTCCACACTACTGTACATTGCCGAAGTTGCAAAATAGTTGCAAGATCAACTGGTTTACAATTTTTATTTTAAAACAGTTGCTCCGTGAGCGGTCGGCCTAACCCATCCCTGCAGCCTGCACACCTATAATATACAACAACATTTCAAACGCGAGAATATCCCTTCAAAAAAACCACTCAATCGAACCCGGTCAATACCGATAACAAACCAGATAAGCCGGCCGACACCTCTCCATGGTATCGTTCAGGCGGCGACGGCGGCGCGAAGCGATGAAACCGCCTGATGCAAAGCAAAGAAAACCGTCGACCGTCGCCTGGATCGAAATGGCCGCCGTCGAGCGCCAGGACGCCGCCGGCGCCCGGAACCGCCTCCACGAGGGCACCAAGCCGGTGGTGCGGGCGGCCCAGCTCTTCGGCGTCATGCCGTTGCGGTGCATCGCGGGCGATTGGGACGGCGTCCGGTTCGAATGGCGGAGCATCGCCGTCGCTTTTTCGGCGTTGAACGCCGCCGGCGCCTTCCTCAGCATGGCCCTGTGGCTGGTCAAGTTCTGCGTCGACGGCATCGTCGTAGACAAAACCGGTAAGATCACGTTTTTACTAAATGAATATCACTCGCCGATCGTCTCCAGACGATTTTTTGAAATCATATCTAAGGCCCACCGCTCACGGAGCGACTGTTTTGAAATAAAAATTGTAAACCAGTTGATCTTGCAACTATTTTGCAACCTCGGCAATGTACAGTAGTGTGGAACCGCACACAAGTCGATTCAAATGAAACTAGTTTGTAATGAGTCATAAACCCGTTGTACCCGACCATTTCTCGCGGTCGCAGTTGCTTTGCAGTTTCAATTCTTCCCAATTTCTGGTGTGATTCATTCGACATTCGATAAATTGCATTGAAACTGGTTTATAATAGTCGCATCCGTGTGCGTACAGAAGTTTAATATTAGTTGTAAACTGGTTACAGACTAAACTAGATTGCAATTTTTATTTCAAAACAGTTGCTCCGTGAGCGGTGGACCTAACTGGTAAATAAAAAATATACACAAAAGAGGAAGTTCGCATATATTGAGATTAATTTAAAAGTTTTTTGATCGCCAAATTTAGTATGAGTTGTAGGGGTAGGGACAAAAAATCCACTCAGATATGAGAGAAAACATTTAATTTCGCATATTTGAAAATTTGGTGATCAAAAAATCTGCAACTTTTAAAATTAATCTCAAACTCTTAAATCTAAAACTTCCTTGACTTTTGTGGAGCAGTTTAGTTCGACTATATTGATATTGGAAGGTAAAAGTAACAATGTGGTATCCGTTCGAACAGTTCTGGACAGTTCTAAGCTACTCCGAACTATTTTAAATCGTTTGGTACTTTTCTAAAGCAAATTCCGGAATGTTCGGACTGTTCTAAACAATTCTGAATCTTTTTGGAATGAGCTAAACTATTTTGAACCGTTTTGAATTGTTTTTAACAAAATGAAATGTTCTTTGGAACTGAAACAAATTGAAATGCTTCGTATTGAAATGTTCTAAAACAATTACTGAGCGGTTTTGAAACGTTTTATATAATTCTGAACAGTTTTGAACTGGTCTAAAAGCAAATTCCAAAATGTTATGAACTGCTCTAAAAACAAATTCCGAAATGTTCGAAACAGTTCTAAAGAGAAATTCCAAAATTCCGAAATTCCGAAATTCCGAAATTCCGAAATTCCGAAATTCCGAAATTCCGAAATTCCGAAATTCCGAAACTGTTCTATACAATTCTAATTCGTTTTGAAATATTCTAAAAACTGTTCCAAAAGATTTACAGAAACTTTTCGGAGCCATATATTGAACTATTTTAAAACAAATTCCGAAATGTTATGGTCTTTCTATAATATTCTAAACAATTCAGAATCTTTTTAAAATATGCTGAACTATTCCAGCATTTCAAACAGATTTCGAAATGTTCTAAACTGTCATAAACTATTTATTTAAGCCATTTTGAAATATTCCAAACAATTCTGAATTGTTTTGAACTATTATACACAAATACCCAAACATACTGAATTTTTTTAACTTATTCCAAACCGTTTAAAATCTTTTAAACTACCCGGAACCATTTGAACTGTTCTAAAAAGTACTCCAAACCGCTTCGAACTGATAAAAACAATTCTGATATTAACCAACTTGTGACGTCAGCGCCAGATTATCTTGAACACACTATAATAATTGATTTATATGATCATATTTCCTACTTTATTTAGGATTATTTCAGTTTACATGGCATTCTACTTCTGCACGTTTTTGTGCACGGTACACTTCATGAAAGTAGCCAGGAATTGGCCCAGTATATTGAAGGAATGGTCGTTCGTGGAAACCACGATGAAAAATTACGGCACCGAGGAAAATCTGAAGAGGAAATTCCTGTGGATGGGGGGCGTTTCGTTTCTAGTTGGAACCGGTGATTATCTTTGAGCTCCTAATTAATTAATGCAATAAAATTTGGTCGTTTAGCAGTAGCAAAGAGGATTTTTGGAACTAAATGTCTTTAACACAGTGGCTTTAACTCCCAAAACTTGAGGCTACTCGTCATAAATAAAAACACTTTGATACTTAAGAATCTGCGACCAATATTTGGTGCATTAATATCGAAACACCCTGTATACAACCTAATTTTAGTGACTTTTATCCGTCTTGTAGTCGAGCACATTCTCTTCATAATAAACGGGCTGTACCAATCGGAAGTGTGCGATAGCTTCAGTCGCAGCCGCTTCAGAGCTACCATGGAGGTGCTCTTCAGCAATTACTTCACTTTTTTCAGTTTCAACACGATAGCCGGCGTCCTTATTAAGGTATTTTCGTTCTAGAACCGATAAGTTCTGTCCATCGATCTAAACGATATTCGTGCTTCAGATGATCAATGTGCTGGCCACTTTTACTTGGATCTACACGGACTTGTTCATTAGCATCGTCAGCCACGCTTTGACCGTGAAGTTCAGGCAGTTTGTGACGCGCATCAAAACGAATACGGTGAGATGAGGGAGTAGATGAAAGATGGGTGGTGTTTGTTGATTGGATTTTTCGATTGTAGGATAGAGTAGGGCACCAGAAATTCTGGAGAGAGATTAGGGAGGATTACCAGAAGCTGTATGGACTGTGCAAAAAGGTCGATAAATGCATATCGTTTTTGGTGTTGGTGTCTTTCATGCACAATATTTTCTTTTTGTGTATACAGCTCTACAATAGCTTGAAGTAAGTTTGAAATAAGTGGATATGTTAGTGTGTTAAAAATCATTTTTATAGGCAAAGAAAAGGGTTGATAGAAACAGCGTATTTCGTCTATTCGTTCGCGTTTCTCGTGTTTAGAATAATAGCTGTTTCGATGTATGGAGCCCTATTGCACGATGAGGCGCAAAAACCCTTGGAGTATTTGCACAACGTCCCGACGGAATATTATTGTTCCGAAGTGAGCGAACCGTCAGTAATCAATATAATGATGTTTAAACCACTCACCTTTTTCCAGGTACGCAGGTTGATCAATCAAATTTACACCTGTCCCGTGGGAATCACCGGATCCGGATTTTTTGTAGTGTCGCGTAATTTCATGCTGCAGGTATTAATTATCCTTTGTTTGGTTAAATTTAATTCATGTGTATGAGCTATTAATTTATGTTTCATACTCACCGGGTATTACAGGGTGTCCCGCATAAGATGTGATGCAGAATAAGGGAGTGTAGGGAAACTAAAAATATGTTGTTTTAACCCAACATAACTTAATACAAAGTTACATTCCTGAGAAGTTAAAGTCCTTCAAAGTGGAGTTAGAAATTTAAAAAAATTATATCTTAGTACCTAATACTCAAAACAACGAAATTTGGTATGCCCAATGAGTACCTTAGAGAATTAATCGATAGTTAGAAGCGATCAATTAATCTATTTTAAAGAGTTCATCAGGGATGATGCTCCCTTAAAATGTTACAGATTTTTGTACCTATTGGATGATTTAAAAAATTATTAGTTAATTTCATGGGTAATTTCATTTTATAACTTTTATATTTTTTTGTTTTTTAAATTCTTTGTAGTTTTGATGAAAAACGCTAAAAAATAAAGTCATGTACATCTATTATTGTTGCCTAAAATCATCGATAATTTAAAAGTTGGCTGTATTAAGTTCAAGTTGGGTAAAACAATATAGTATTTTAGGCTCCCCTATATGCTCCTGTTCTGTGTCGATACTTATGCGGGACACCCTGTATTTTAGATTGCAGGCACCATAGTCACCTTCGAATTGATGTTGTTCCAATTTGCGCCCATCGACTCTAAGAATCGCATCTATAATAAAACAGAAATATGTATAAATGATTGAATAAAAATACACCAACGTCTCTCGTTATCTTTTCTGATATTAAATAGCTAAATATTTGTAAAAATCACATTAAAAAAATCAGCAAAGGGTGAGGAAATGAAAAATAAACGTTTCATACATCATATGTTTATTGAATTTTTAAATTGACAACTCAAATGGATATCAATTCTAATTTTGTACCGACTAAAAATAAAATACAAAAATTATAGAAAAATAATTTAATTTCTTATTTATACAATTTTATAAAAAATTCTATAACATATAAATATTCAGAATAATTGCGAATATAATTAGTCCCGAAAAGCTCGTTGACAAAACAAATTGGAAAGTATAAGAAGATGCTGTAAAGCTTCGAGGAACTTTTAGAGACTGTTATTTCTTAATAAATAAATTTACAATTAATTATTCTGAAAAAAAGTAAATTACCCAGGTTTTTTTCTTAGTCATATCCACAGTTATCAATAATAAAACAACAAAAACAATCATAATTATACAAGTTTTCATAGACGGATGTTCGTATCAAAAATACCACAAAATAGTTATAAAATTCACGACGTGATCGCATCAAGCACAAACCAACTCTCCTGCCTAAATTAAACGATGAATCCAAATCAAACGTGGAAACCAATACCAACCCATCGATTCTTTTTGTTTGTTACCTACACTCGAACGTTTTACATATTACTCGAAAGTTTGTATTGTTCCTAACAAAGAGCATGAAAAAACCGGATCTAAATTCTAGTCTCACTTGAAGAAAAACGAACATTGTTAATTGTTAGTTCTCCGATGAATAAAATAATGATTGTCGTTTACGTATCCTCCATAGCGGGCAGCCAAAACGCCATATTCGTGCAAGCCGAGGCCAGCATCATGTATTTCGGATTGAATTGAACGCATTGCACTGGTCCAGGATGATCCGCATTTAATACACAAACCTAAAAATACAATAAGTATACAGGGTGTTTCCAATTTATATTCGAAGTTAATGCATATACGAAAATATTTACCTTGTACCCTGTATCAGCATTCCACACGTGCACTCTACCATCCGTGGATCCGCTGAAAATGAACTGGGAATCAGGACTGAAAGAGGCCTCGATCGGTATACCTTTGTTGTTCAAATGTCCGGTGAACGATTGCAAAGGAGTACCGTGGAAGGCATCGATTAATCTTATTATGGATCCGTTGGTGCTGATTAAAATCGTTTTACCGTCTCTCGAGAACTTCAAACCCGTCCAATCGCATTCCTTCTCTTGCGTGAGTTTAAACGTTACGAAAGGTCCCTGGAAATTGAAATTTGTAAATATCGTGTGAAAGTCTAAAGTGGTTTATTTACCTTATCGAAAGACCTAAGGTCATATAATTTTATGCTTTCGGAGTTAACACCAGCAGCGAAAATGAGTCCTTCGGGATCGTATGCAGCCACAGGCCTACCAGACAAGTGCATTAAACCTTGGCAATTAGGGGATCTCAAATCCCATAATCTTAGTGTCTTATCGACCGATCCAGAGAGGAAAGTGTCTTCAACAGGAGAGAGGCAAAGCGAGACGACCTTCTTGGTGTGCCCCGGGAAGTACCTAATGTATTTATTGTCGTGCAAAGACAAGTATCGTATCGTATCGTCGATTTTGGTCGAGCTGTGGATGGCAGTGTTTTTGGCGTGCGTGAAATGTATGAGGTCGACGCCGTACTTTTTGCTATTTACAGTCCTGACTTGGGTGCCCTTTTCGCAGTCGTAGATCACGATTTGATCGTCCTCGCTGCAGGATATCAGCGTCTCGCCGCTCGGCGAGAAATCGATGCTGTTTATTTTGTCGGTGTTCTCGCGGAACACTTTCGCCACGCGGAAACTCCGCACCACCTGGTCGACGAGTTTCATCTTCATGTGGGCGGCCGTTTTTGTCTAGTCTCGTCCGCTGGAAATTATCGAAAACGAGCGATCGCCACTAATTCGAATCCAAACAATGTTCAATTCGACAACATGGAGGTTGTGATGCGTGCGTTTGTTTGTTCGGTACGTTGACGTTTGACGTTGACGTTTCGTGTAACGTCACGTGATATGTATTCGCAAATATTCGTACGTTATAAATAAAACTATTTACGTTTATAATTTAAAAGTTAAAAGATTGATTACCAGAAATGGATATGTTTAAATTTCATCTGAATATGAACCTTTATAAGGCGTAATTGAAACCTGGCTGAAGCTCGATTGGGTGAGGCCATAACACTCCCTTACATTCTTATGGAAGAAGACGAAGTGTAATTAATGACTAACTTCATGTCACAAAATGACATAACTAGGGTTTTTCAATTTTTAGGTTAAGAAAATGTCAAAAAAACAAATACTGAGCGAATATAAGAAAAATGTCTTAATTTTAAGGAAAAAAGCCAAAAATCTAGGTTTAAGTAGCAATGAAATCGAAAACCTTTTCAAACAATCATTTACCGAATTAAGAAATGAGTTGGATAATTCACGAAACGTATCAGAATCCAACAAAACACTCAGAAGCTGTACTAATTTTAGAAACTTATTCGTACTTTTAACAATATTTTTAATTTTTATTTACGTTTTATTAAATGTGCACCAACCCACTTCCAGTATCGTACTGAGGAACGTTCAAGGGCTGACATACCCAACTTTAAAGTTAGTAAGATTTTTATCCGTTCCCATAATCAAGTTATTTCCAAGATTAACAGGTAATACACGCAATATTTCAACACTACACAATTTATTTAAAATATTGTTATAGATTTATACGATGAAACGTGCCTAATAGAAAATCCTTACTTCTATGTATCCGATATGGAATGTTGGCCTTGCGAAAACGTTTTCACTGTTCTCAATTTAACAAAAGTGGAAAAAAGTTTATTGAAATCCGGTTATGGAACTCCATTTATCACAAAGGTTTGAAAGCAAATTCTATTTACAACCACAACTAATTACTACTCAGTAACAACAATTACTAATTTACATTAATTTTCTCAGTCAAATCAACAACTAGTAACACTGGAAACAATGCGAGAGCTCTACGAACAGAACAAGTACCTTTTAAATTCTGAAACCAAAAGACTGGAATCAACAAACTCATCATACACCACCCTAGAATCATTATTCGAAAACAACGAGAGCTTCCCTTCTAACACACATATCTCGTGGCGCGTCACCAAAATGGCCACAGCTCGCGTCGTTCGACAAGTCTTCCCCAAGCCATTTTTTCTTCCAGATAGGTCTGGACAGAGCGTAGAAAGATTCGTGATAATAGACGGTCCCGAAGCGGATCCGTACGCACTGCCCAGCACCGAATGTAGCTACGTTTTCGCCATACAGGGATCGGGCGAACGAAGCATTGTATTGAAACCTTCCAAAGAATGCAGTAATAATTGCAGAACGATTTCTGTCGTTTTGAAACCTTCTTATATTCGTGAGTACAATTATCTATAATAGTATGTAAGTTTTTAGATAATTATTGTGATATTTTGTGTTTTCAGTGTGGTACAATTGGTGGTATTGGCGACCGATTAGTCTTCCTTCTACGAATTCTAGTGAGCCTTCTGTAACTTACATTAACTCCTATTGCTGATATTTTTTACTCAATTAATTTACTAATATCAGTAATTTAACGTTTAATTAACCATTACTAGGATCTTATATGCTTTAATTTTAAGAGTTTTATTTATTTATTCAATAAAATCGTAGAGTTCTACGAATTCGAATCGATTGTATTTACAAACGTTAATTTTACAACAATCAATAAAAAAAAAAGTCTGAATACAATGTAATCAATATTTTATTATTCACAATGCTTTCCGAGCTTCGAATTTCAATTACATACTAAATAACTAATAGCATGGACCAAACAAACACTTAATACTGAGTACAAATAATTTATAATTATTTACATCGACTGTGTTGCATTCTGCTACTCCCAATTTGATTTACCCCCATTAGACTAAAATGATTTTCACTAATAAAAAAAAACGCAAACGAAATCCCGCTTCGAACACCACCCGACTACTCCACCTTCTCCCGAAACTTCCCCTTCAAAAATATAGGAACCAAAGAAACAACACCAAACACAATCAACAACATGGCCGACCATAAGCTAAACGCGCTATCGCTCTCCGTCATCTCGTTCAAAGTCTGCCCGCCCTGAATGGCTATGAACGAGGGCGGCGCGACGCCCACGAACGTCCCGAACGCGAACGGGTACAGCGGCACCCCGATGACGGGGGCCGTCAGATTGATGAACCAGTTGGGCAGCAGCGGCGTCACGCGCAGGAACACCATGTAGTTGAACATGTTGGACCGGTGGCGCTCCACCTGCAGCGCCCAGCTCTCGGCCTTGGCCGGGAAGTAGCGCAGCACCAGCTTCCTGCCCAGCAGCTGGGAGAGCATGAAGCACAGCGAGGCGCCCACCATCGAGCAGGTGCACACCAAGGCGAGCGCCGTGAAGAAGGGGAACAGAAAACCCGACATGATCGAGAGGAACAGTGAGCCCGGAATGGCGAACGTTTGGAGACTGTCGTATAAATATTAAGGAAAATTATAGCACTCCGCAATAACGTTGTTACTGATTAATTGATTAATGATACGACAGAATAGGCCTTTTGCACAACTAGGAATCGTACACTCTGCGAGTTAATCGTACACTTTAATAAAGGGTTTTCAGTGATAATAAAACCTGAATAAAAATTAAATTATAAAGCAAAATAATAATATTATCTAGTTAGAATCATTCTACTAGTAACTCGCCCATTTTAATAATCTTAATTTCTCCCTATGCGAATTAATAATCGTGTAGTCCTATTTTGTCGTGCTTTGCTTTATTCTGTCTTGTAGTTTATTTCTGTCGTTTAATACACCTATTTTGTCGTTACTTTACCCTTAATTTATGCGATTAATTCATGAATATTATTAAAAAGGATACAAAATATAGGTGATAAATACACCGGCCATTACTTGGTAGTAATGCTCGGTTTTGTATTTATTCAAGACAATTCCAAGATGCTTGGCATCTTCTATGTTCCAAGGAATTTTAATATACTGACTTTCTTCACTGAAATTAATAAATTAAATCTATAAAAATGCAGTAAATACGTAATGGAAATTACTCACTCGGATACCTTCGGGAATGTATTATATACTAGAAAAAGAGCCGAAAGGGACGTCAAAAATATTATTAAAACCGAAAGAGTAGCAGTTCTTGTTGATAAAGTATCTTGTACTTGCCCACCTACAATTATATTGAATTATGTGAGGGAATTACGCGAAATTGTTAAGTGGATTTCTAGGTTATAAGGATACCTCTTTTTAAAGGGAATTGTAAGTTTTGCAGCAATTCGGACATGCTGGGATCGTAATAGGCGGCGAATCGGAAGGATTTCCTGTAGGATCGCCTGCCTTTCAAGGAAAATTTGGATTGGAACGGACGGGAGTAAAAGTCCGAGGAAGAGCTGATATCGGGGCACTGTGTACATTCACCTGAAACTCTCGAAGTCATTTTTATAGTAGGCGAGACGGCTCGATGGATTTTCCGTTACTTGTGTTTCATCAAATACCCATCACTGTCTCGAATTAATTAGTTTTGTACGAAATATTTTGGTAATGACTAGACGTGAAGTTCAAAAAATTACATTTTTCGTGTGACAGCAGGACGCTTGCGCAGGACACGTCAGATCGCGCGATGTTCAAGTGACGGCCAGTGGTGGCAACTTTAAGAAATCGTAAACATGACGGATTAAATGTCACTAGAAAAAGGCAGGTCAGGCTCCAGGAAATATTATTACGCGAATTGAAATTTTAATCTAAAAAGGTGGTTTTCTTAATATTTGTAATTGTAGTAAGTAATGAAATTTTTGTTGATAAAGTGTTAAAGTATTCATATTTAGAGTATATGAGAAGGAGAAGATGCTTCAAAATTTTTTAAAATGTGTATAAAATCATGAGAAGACCCAAAAATTAGAAAAGTATCATCTGGATTGATAAAAATGTTTCGAAAATCATTAAAAACCTTCTAAATATCATAAAAAAAATGTAAAAACAAATTGAAATCATGAAAAATATAAGCACCTGGATAATATCCGAACTTGAAGAAATACCTCTAATAATTAAAATTTATTATCTTATGCAGTATCTTACAATAAAGAATTACTATTAATAATGCTACTTAATGTATTGCAATAATTGTACGATAATACATACAGGTAGGTGCAAAATTGTTTGCAATATGGGTAGGCTATGGGTGCAACAAAGTCAACTTCCATTAGTCTCATATAAAGGAAAAAGAAAGAGTGATATTGTAGAATTGCAACTATTTCTCACTCTAACCATTGTTAATTTAATAAAATCTTTCTTTGTTCAACTCGTAGAATTGACATTGATCAAATATGGACCTTCGAGAGATGTACTACATATTTACAAACTTATAAAGAGGAATAGGTAATCCCAATATTAAATTTTCGAATCGTTTTCAAAGCACCAGCATTCACATAATATCAAATTTATTCAGCTAACGTAACAAATCGACGACAATTAGAATATTATAGTCATGTACGTTCGGTACAAACGGAAGTAAAAACTGAGAATCTAACGATTCCAACTGCCATAACCACGTGCTTGGTTAATGGATAGTATTTTCTCAAGAGGGAAGTAAACAATAACCTTGTGGCAATGGCGCTCTATCGGATTCGGTTTTATCGATTTAATAGAGTGTACGCGCTTCCTTCATTGGATTTTGTGGGAAAATTTGTCCAATATAAATGTTTGTTTTATTTATAAAAAAAGACCTGTTTCATGGTACTATAAGAAGGTTTAGTTCAAAGTTGTCTAATACGTTTGAAATTTGTTTTATTAGGATTTTTTGTTCAATGGAGAAAAGAAGTGCGTTAAATTTTCACCAAGACAACAAAACTTTGATCAGAAACTTAATAATAAATAAATTTTAATTTGTCTTCTTCATCAGGTCAGTTTATCTAGAGAGGGTTAGCTGTAGCTTATGTTTAGAAAAGGGTCGCCTATTATTACACACCCCGTATACAGAGTGGTACTACTGAAGTAAAATAAACTCTACTATTACACTATGGTAAAAGTTTTGGAATTATTCGATTTTTTTCTTTGAGTCACTTTTGCTGTCTTTTGCTTACAAAATTAGGTTTTATTACTATCTCCTCATTGATCTCCTGATAGCGAACAGAGTATAGTCTACAGCCAGTAAACACACATTTTGTCTGCATTTTGTCCCTATTTTACAATAACTTCGAACACATTTAAGTTTCGAAAAGACCTCAGGAATCGCCAATCGCCATAAACTCAACTTCGACAAAAGTTCCTCGGGTTTATTCTGCATTCTGCGGATTGTAAATCGCGCGATTTCTTCATCGGCTCCGATAACGCGGCTGCAAAGTAAAGCCCCAAACTCGACTAATTTTAGAAACTTCGGACGTGCCGATGGGAAGGAAAAGTTTCTGGTCGTTTCGCTTCTGCGACGCCAGTCAATTTCGAGTTTTCGGACTTCGGCGGGTGCGAGTGTGTGTGGATTCTCTAGGAGGTCTACGAGTCTACCGTATTCTGCGATCGAGTGAGGCACAAACTACACGAAGCGCTATTCATCTATTCATCAGTCGATCGGTCGCGGTCGCAGCGAGTAGCAGAGGGACCTTCGAAGCCGGATCGTGCGTAAAGTTCGACGAGCGGGAGTTTTGTTTTTGAATTTTTCGAAATTCGATTCGATTTGGATTGGTTTTGAGGAATTATGCGTGGCTATAGTGTATCGGATTTTGTGGGATTTTTGGTGGTTTTTGATGGTTGAGATGATGGCGAGTTCAGCAAATTTTAAAGTAAGTGTTATGAATTAATTGTTGGTTTGTTGTTATTAGGGAAAGGGCTGGTTATATTTGTGTTGCTAGGGGATGGTTTTTATGGGGGTTTTTGAAGGTTTTTTGGGCGCGGTATTAGACTTGTTGGAAATACTTTGAAGTTTTGATTTTTTAAAGATTAGCATTTCTAATGTCCTAGAACGATTTTTATTTTTTCATATTTGTAGGTTGTTTTTCGTGGAGACATTTTTCATAATTTAATAAGAATGTCTTAAATAAAATACGCCTTTCGTAATAATACAAAAAACAAAACTTTCAAAAACCTTATAGAAGTGCAAAAGATATTTGATTTTGAATGTTTTTCATATATATTATGCTTCTGCTTTTTTTATTTTTGAATTTATGGAGATTTTTAAATATTTCCAACCGTATTTTAATTTTATAAGTAAATTTTAAGGATTTCTTGGACCATTTTCAAATCTTTTCAGTTGCATGTTTCTTGGAAGACATTCAATTTTTTTAAGAATATTAAAAGTTGTGAGTTAATTACGAATTTTTTACGGTTTTTTAAAAATTGTTGGTTTTTTTTCGTTATTTTTAATTTTATAAGTAAATTTTACGGATTTATTGGACCATTTTCAAATCTTTTCAGTTGCATGTTTCTTGGAAGACATTCAATTTTTTTAAGAATATTAAAAGTTGTGAGTTAATTACGAATTTTTTACGGTTTTTCAAAAATTGTTGGTTTTTTTTCGTTATTTTTGTAAAGATTATTTTAAGGATTATTTCTCCTTGTCTCGTTCCTAATTGACAACATACACAAACTTTCACTCTTTGATGACTTTGCCCCAACTGCTATTAATTATCTCTCAACTTTTATTAACTTCCTCTTTTTCATTACTTTTAATTATGATTCTTTCGCAACTTTTCTTATTGGTTACATTCCTTCATAAAGTCTTTAATGTGGCGACATTCATATAAACTCCCAGTAAAACAGTATTCTCATTATAAGAACTATGAAAATATTTTTAATATTCCGGATGAAGCAAATAAAAATAATTGTAAATAATCAAAAGGTATACCTCGCTATTTTGTTAAAAATATGAATTATGTAATAAATAAGTTAGATATTACTAGTTTAGTTTCAATATAAAAATTTAATGTCCGGTATTTAAAAAACTATCACTTTAATTTTCTTAACAATTTATCACCCCTATAGTAGTACTGTAGTATGTTTATCTAAATCACTTTGTATAGGTTATACACCTTGCTCCATTTCCGATTGCAACATGGTCATTTCAATGAGTGGAACAAAGAAAGATTATTAAAATGACAGTTGTCAGAGTGAAAAGTTGCAATGACACAAATGTCACTCTTTCCTTTTCCTTTGTAAGTGTCTAATGCAAGTTGTCTTTATCGCACCCATGGCCTATATAATCTATGTTGCGATCAAAAATGAAGCAACCTGTATACAAAGTTACAAACAAAAGTTAATATAGAAAATTTAACAATTGCATATTAATTTTCTATCTGGTGTACAAGCAAAGTACGTATAACTTTCTGGAATACAATTTTCCGAATTATTATACCAGAATCCGAAGAGGAAGAACGGTTTAATGTGCAATACAAACGCCCGCGGCGGGGCTGTTCTCGCTGATAACAAATTTAGTTTTCCTATCTAGCCAGGATTTAAAAGTTCGAGTCCGGACTTAATTTCGTTCGCCCGGTTTCCTCGGGCCTCACTTTACCGACAAAATTGCTTAATAGAAAACGTAATCGGGAAAATTTCACTAAGTAATTTCAAAAGAAACTTCGGTTTGTTAGAGGGAGTTCGAGAAAAATTTCGAATGGAAAAAAACAAACCTGTCTAAAGCCAAAAACTCTTGATATAAGTTTTATTAAATTTGCCACTCATTTATTAATAAAAATGGTAATGTTGGATAGAAATTATATAATTTTTACGATACGTATATATGACAAGTGACAAGTGACTTAATTTAACGATATTATAATTTTTTCTAATGGACCTTTTTGTTAATTTACTTTACTTGCTCTTTACGGAAGAAGGAATAGCTTTTTGTTTTGCATTCATTACTAATCAAGTCATTGTTTAAATTCTGCCTTAAGTGTTCCTTTTGTCTGTCGCTCAACTTTCCCGACAATAATTAAACTGATTAGTGAAGTAAAATGTCTCGGCGCGCACAAAAAGGACGCGCGCCGCGCTACTTCCCGTTCGAATTTCTTTAATTAGTCTTTCCCAAACAAAAGTACGATCAAAAAAACTATAATATTTCCTCTTTTTTTCTAGAGAAATCTAAAAGTTCATAGGAATTTATGTAGCCGAAGATTTCAAAGATAAACTGCACGAATAATAAAGTGTTTAAATTGAATTAAACGCAATCAAAATCAGTTCTCTTTTTCGTAATTAAGGAAACATTCATAATTATCTCATTTAAAATTAATTCTTCTCCTGTCAAAATAATTACAGAATTATTTAACTTAAATCATAGTGTGACATTTTCTTCTATTCATGTCATTAAATTGATGTTAGATTGACATTGACAGCAACGGCCTACTAATGAAATCATCTAGACTAAGTAAAAGCATAAAACACGGGAGCAACAAGGATAACAAGATGCATAATATACTTACAGATAAATCGTGGATAAAAATTATGACAGAATAAGAATAAAGGGATCCTTCCCGTCTCTTGTATCTGCAGGAAACGAAGATTTTCAAAACCAATAAATACCGTCGTTTATTAACATTTTTCCTTTTTTCTCGAACGCGTTTCCAATTATAATTTTTCTTTGATCTACCGGTGCCGGTGTTGCGGTGTATTTTCATTTTCACGAAGGAGGTCAACGACGTCGCGCCAGCGGGAAAATCATCGTTTTGAAAGGAGCTGCCGATGATGGGATCCAATGAAACTGAGTAATGGGGTGGTTGAATATTGACTGAATTTCCTCTAAGTAGATGCCAGAAATCGGCTTGAGATTAATTGCTATAATTGCATCAAAGTTGAAAAGTTGGCCGTGTATGTCACCACTTGTGTTGGCAATACTGATTTACTTTTGACAATTACGGCCTACTTCTCGAAAAAAGTATCGTGTTTAATGATTCGGTGCAAAGTTATCCGATTTAATGACCAATTTTTTCTCTGATTTATCGACCATAAAATAAATCATCGCGAACGAAACCGTGCCGAAATCCACGTTACGGTCAGTTTTTCGTATTCTTCCTACGAAATGACGAAACTCGCGTTTAACCGACCGAAAACTATTTCCACGAATTTCGAAGCGACAAAGAGTGGACTTGAAGGAGTTCAATGAATTGTTAAATGCGAATAGTTTTGCGAAATTTCGTTTGTCAAAAACCCGCAAAAAAGTTCTTAACAATCCACTCGAATTGCGAGGTAAATGAAATGAAGCGTCGCTTCAACCGTAATCGAGTTTTAAAGAGTTCCATACATGAAGGTACCTATCAATTATTATTAGAGGAGATTAAAATTCATTACAGTTGATTGCGAGTATTTCATTAATTTTGATTAATCGACCGATGTTTTTCTGCCTACATGCATACAGAGCGAGTCTGAATTCGATTCCATCGAATTGAAGGTCACATATTTGTAATAATATGCTCTTCTTGACATACAATGTACCTTCAGGGTGGCCCTTGACTCTGTAGCCTATTTAACATTCATAAAAAGGCCACTATTCAAAATTATGGTAATTTTTATAGAGTGATCCAACAAAATATGTAGTTATTTAAATATGATAATAAAAATGAGTCTAAATAGTAGTGACAATTAACTGGTATTTTTTTTATCGAAAATTCAAGTAGATTCGTAACTCGTGATTATTATTTTGGGCCGCCCTGTACATGTGGATTATCACCCTGTATAAAGTACTTTATAGAGGTTTCGTAATCAAAGAGGTCGTCCGCGTTTCTTGTTTTTTTATTCTTGCTTTAATTCGTCCAATTACCTCGACGGTTCGAGAGACAGATTTAAACGAATAATGAGATCTATTACTTAATTCAATATGGTAGAAAATATTGTTCTTGTTGTTATTCGTGTAACATACAAGTAAGAGACCTCAAGGTGCCTTAATCCGGGTTAAATCACGGTCGATTATAAAACATAAATATTAGACATTTAGACAGGTACTGCGCATTTTATAAATTTAAATGTAGTCGTCGAGTTGTTGAAATACATATGTCTGAATAATTAATTGGATAATTAATCCGCAATTGAATAGAGTCGAAGTCAAAAGTAAATTGTAGATTTTTTTATACCTACATATATTTGTTAGTATCTAATAAATTCGTAATTGGATTCACCTTGTACAAAAACTAATTAATTTTTTCAATAATCCTACCATTTATCAGATTCGCGATTTTCGTCATATTATTTGATAAAATTGACAACTCATTCAGAAATTAACTTATTTAATGTGAGAAGATGCATCTTGCCAACATTTTCCCTTACTATTGAAATGATTTTAAAGGAACTAAATTCCATTAAAGATCTTAAACAGTGTGTGAAATACCTTCGATACATAAGATTTACATACGCTGCTAAGTATTTACAGAAGCTATATTCAGTGAAGAAGAAGGGCGCCCTTTTAATGGAACACTCGAGATAGCGTGTACTTGTTGACGAAATAAGGTCAAGATAAAAATAAATAGAAAAACCGGCAGGTGTCCCGCAGTCATCGCTGTCTGTTTTTCTTCGAATAATCCTCCTGCGGTCCTCTCAGGAGGTTCCGATTTTCCCTTTTCCCGACGATAAATCACCGTTTTTGTGTGTTCTTATAAAGAAGGCGCCTCGGAGAACGAACGGAGTATATGCGGGTAAAAATCCAAAGGGCAATTAGCGGTGTTGATTAATGGACGATCTGGTTTTTATAGGTACCGGTAGTTAAATTAACGAGCTTTAAAAAGATCTACTAATCGTTCGGTAACGAAGGATTTAGAGAAAGTTAAAAAAGTTCTATCAATTATTTGTTTTACTCTAAACAAAGAGAGATTAAAGAGCCGTTCTTCTTCTATAAGTAGGCGTTGAAAGAAGGCCAAAAAGTGTCAAGTTTGACAATTGACAGAAGATTTCTTATATAGAAAAGGAATTCTTCTATCGCTCTTCTTCTTGCGAAAAAGACCATACAACTAATTGAACTAATTGATAAACCCCTCTAATTATAACTACACTGAAAAAAATGAGTTTGCGATAATAACAAAAAAGTATTAGTTGGAAACTTTTAGTTAGTTGGGCAAATATTTCATTTTTAATCACAAATACACTATTTAAAACAACAACACAGTTTTGCTCTATACATGAACAGATTTTAGTTGATATTTGTTAGTTATAAACACAAAATATATGTTAAGGTAACAAACAGTCTAATTTCGAATAACTAAACTAATCGAAACAGCTGGAACTATATATATATTTGTCGCCAAAACAGAAATAATGATTTTGTTTAGGAAATTTTTTTACTTCTCACAACATTTTTCCCAAAAAAATTGTTATTTAAGACATGGACATTTTCACAGAGTTGTTTAGAGAATGATATAAAAATAAAAAAATAAAAATCGACGGGTCTCAGCGTTTTTAGAAAAAAAAATTCTAACGAAAATACGAATTCTATGCAGAACTTTTTTACCACACTGTATGTATACCTAATTCGAAAAATATCCGTCAGGAAAATTCCTGGTTTTATCAAATTTTGTCTTTATAAGGTCTTCTTAATTTCACTGAATTCATACCGCCCTTTTAGACTATTTTTTTTATGATAAAAAGGTGAGATTTTTTATTTTCAAATTTAAATAAACAAAAATAACGAAGCGATAGGTACGCAATCAGCGAGACAGCGAAAAAAAATCACCCCTTCCAGGCCTAACTTCAGGCATACAACATACAACAGATTATTAAAAACAGTCTGTCCTTTATTTTTGCGCTTCTCAGCGTGAGAAAGACAGATTTTTTAAGTTAACTTCAAGCTTCAAGGTGAAATGTCTGGATGCGCGAGGCTTTCCGACTTCCGCGATCCGCAACCGCGACGCGTTCCTCGTCCTCTCGTTCCTCGTTTCTCGTTCCTCGATGGCGAAACCAAACCGAAACTTTTCCTCTGAAAGTTTTTGCATTTAGCTTCATTTGGCATTTGAAATATGGGAGTATTATTAGTGATGCGACTAACTTAGTACACGTATTTACGTTGATTATATTTATATTGCTCGTACAAGTGTTTGTAATTTATGTTTTGAAATTAAATCGGAGTTCGGAAGTGAATAATGGAGGCTGAGTTGAGGGACATTTTAGAAGAATGGGGTTTTTCGGGATTAATTCCTTTATTTGAAGGTAAGTTTACTCATTTATTGTATTATTACTGATGGAAATGTTTTGCATTTTCTCTATAAGTTCATTTATTTCTATAATTTTCTGATGATTGTGGTTATTTTAGATTAAGTATATAAATGAAATTCGTTTACAAGGATTTGAGTACTGTTGCATCAGCCATTTTGACCGATGCCGTACTCGTGCCCGTCTGTACGTGGTGCTGCTTTTATTTATTATATTGTAGAATTGTTTATTGATTTCCAGTTGATTTCTTCTAAATTAATATGGTACTTGCTTGAAAATTAGTTTGTAATTTTTTATTTTGTTTCAGGATATATATTTTAACGTTTCCTACAAAAAAGTAGGAAAAGGGGCAATTCGAAAAATGGGAGGGGGAAAATTGTTTCGAAAGTATTATAATTTACGAAGAGATTTTAAAACGAATGGTTTACTAAGAAGTAAGGCTTGTAGAAGAACTGCAGATGCGGCAAAAAAACCAATAACTAAAGCTGAACAAGAAGTACTTGAATGGCTTAAAAACAATGCTGCTCCATGGCAAGAGTTAGAAGCAAAATGGGCGGAAACGTATGAAGCAAGAAAATCGTATTTTATGGATGTTAATTCCATTCACGATTATATGAAAACATTTAAAGGGCTTAATGAACCATTGGGTTATGTCCTGGTAAGCGCCATATTATTTAATATGAGATAACCGTTTAAATTTAAAAATTTTAGCTTGAATACGACTTTGCAACTCAATATCCATACTTAAACAATCGACTATTGACAGCGTGGCCTGAATTCTCAAAGAAAATAAGTAAATATGCTTCTACATTGAAAATAGCTGAAGTAGATGAATGCTTAAATTTCTTCGATAACGATAATTTATCAGAAGGTAATATACGAGATGTATATAATATATATATCCTCAATATTAATTAATATTCTATAAATTATTTTTAGATTCAAAAACAATGATCGTTTTGAAAATATTAAGCTATTTGATAAAACCAGTTCTAGTGGTTAAGAAGAAGAATAAGAGTTCCTTTAAACCGTCAAGAATAGAAATGTTGGATGGATTAATTTTACACGTTACAGTAAGTAATTACTTTCTTATTTGTCTAAAATCAGTAATTCAAATTACTTCTTTAACTTAATTTATTCAAAGTAATATGGTTGGGTGGTTTAGGCACATATTGAATTAGTCCTGATTATATCGTTGTAATTAGTGAATGTAATCATTAATATTATTAATTCATAATTTTTAATTTTAGGCTGGTGCTGATATACATGCCTCACTAGAACGAAAAAGAGCCTTATGAGCTTCAGACTTCAATCGCAACCTATCCCAATAGCGTGTGGAGAGGATATCAAAAATCTCTACTCATTTTATAAATCTGTAGACGATTATTTGTACTATGTCCCAACGTTGTTAAAAGCAATTGAAGGGACTTTCAAAATTATTCATATGTTGAACGCAGAATATCCGTCAGAAGCTGAGCCTTTGTGGTTAATTATCCAAAGAGGGATCTTTGGTTTAGAAACGAAATTTGACAAATCGTATTCCGATGTTAATGTCATCTTGAGCATCCTAGCTGCCTAATGAGGTAACATTTCAAGTTTTTGAGATTTTAAATCTAAATTTCACCATTTAACTCATTACCCGCGAATCATGAAATTGGTTGGACCTTTAAATAATATGCATTAGATATGAATAAAAACATAAAGAATTTAAAAACACAGCTAACGTCACATTTTGCATAAAAAGTCTCATGAAATCTTTAGCTTTGAAGCATCAATTAAAAGTTCATTACAGACTTTTAACTACTAATATTTCATTTGTCAGTAATATTGAATGTGCAGATTGTGATTTTTACTTATTTTAAGACCTTCATGTAACCTGTTCATTTCATGTAAATTATAAAGAATTGAATATGTTTTTAGAAAATTCTGAAGAAGTAAGCATTCCAAATTGGATGAAAATTAATTCATGTTTTTATAAAAAAAAACTTTTTTATTCAAGTGAAGCATATTGATTTGTTACCACAATTTGGGTTTATTAGAGATTTATTTTACACTTCACAAAAGACAATATACTTTCAGATTAATGAACTTGTAACCATTTGCTTTAATCAATATTTTTTGCATATGAAGTGCGTAGAACTGATACTGTTAAAATTATACCTTATGCCGATTTGGATTGCTTAAAACATTACTATTTAATGTTTCATCTCAGGGAATATTATTTGTTGCGGAACGTTAGTTTTTGCTTTTGTTTAATTTTTGATGTTTGGAGTTCGATTTATGTCTCACGAACATTTCGTCTCATGAATTATTATTTGTTTTAGGTACTTTTAGGTTTACTTTACTTTTAAGTTGTTTTAGGTACTTCTGGGCACTAGAACGGTACTTTTATTTTTTTTCATTTTGTTTTCAGTTACTACTAGTACTCAGTTAGTTATTGTACCTATAATTATTTTTAGTATTGTTGAATAAAAATATTACTTATACTAACAAATGCGTGATTTGATTTCGCTTACCCAGAAATTTTGTTCGACAAACTACAATTTTTAGTTAAAATTTTTACAAAAATTTGTCTTTTAAACTAAAAATTTTGTTGAAATTAATATTGAAGTTTTTGTTATTGAAACAAAATTAATTTTTTTGGAACTAAAAAGATTTGTTGAAATTTGAGTAAAAGGTTGTTCGACAAACTACAACAGTTTGTTGAAATTATTATAAAAATTTGTCTTATAGACTAAAAAATAAGTTGAAATAAGAATTAAAAAGTGTTACATAAACTAATATGTTTGTTATCCCAACTAAATTAATTTGTTTATCCCAGTATTAAAATTTTTAATAAAAGTTATTACGTTAGTTAATTAAGAAAAAAAAATAGTTTGTAAGAACTAATTTTTTTTGTTACAGTTACAACACAAACTTAACTAATCCTTGTTTGTTAATGTAACTAAATTTTCAGTTGGCGCTATATTTAATAACAAAATTAGTTGTTACCAATAAATTTTTGTTTACTGTGACAAAAAATTTTTTAGAGTGTAGTCTAGAAACGCTCTAATTTCTTTAAAAAACGATTACCCTATAAAACAGTGGCTCAAAACTCCAAAAAACACCGTTTCTGTATTCAAGCGGAAAAGAAAATAAAACTGTAGACAGTTCAGAGACAATTATTCACAATCATCCGAAGTCCATTAGCGAATTCGCCGCGAGTTTGAAAGATAAATTAACCCAACCGAGGGCGACGGATACATCGTAACTTTCTGAAGGTGTATGTATATTTTCAGCGAAAACGAAATAATAATCGCGACGCTAAATAAAACGCCGGAGGAAACAGAAATAAACCTGGTATAGTCGAACAGACCGACTGCAGACGCTTTGTGACTGCCTAGCAGGAAGATATCGCTTTTCCGTGTTAAAAGCGAATATTGTATAGAATATTGTGGAAGAGTGCTTCGTTATATTGTAACACTAAGGGCCGGTTTTTTATATTTTCTATAGCTAAAAGACGCATTCGAATGTGCTTTTGACAAACTAACACATGTTCTCATGTTACTTTTGTTAAGGGACACTTATTGGGAGAATAAAAGTAGTACTAAAATATGTCATTGATGGTCCATGAACAATAATGCGAGAGATATACGACATAATTAAATTCTTTTCTTTGTTATCCGGTATATAAAATTTTAATGAAGTCTGCTGGCTGGATATCTTTTGTGGCAAGAGGCTGTAGAGGGAATGAATAGATCCGAAATTTTCCGACTCAAATTACTGCACGATATTTAACAAAAAAGTGTCATTAGTGTAATATACAACGTGGTTTTAGATTATTGAGATTCTTTTAATATATTGAGGCACGGTTAAGTAATTTTTGTGTAATTTAAATCTAAATTATCTTATACAGGTTGCTCCATTCTTGATCGCAACATAGGTTATATAGGCCATGGGTGCGATAAAGACAACTTTCATTAGACACTTACAAAGGAAAAGGAAAGAATGACATTTATGTCATTGCAACTTTTCACTCTGACAACTGTTATTTTATTAATCTTTCTTTGTTCCACTCATAGAAATGACCATGTTGCAATCGGAAATGGAGCAAACGATATAAATGAATAAGCTGTCATCTAAAAGGAGATGACAATTGACAGGTTGTTGGTAACTTGTTAAAAGTTATGACAGTTCTGACATATGAAAATAATGGGAATGTACTGAGCCTTTAATGCGTTTTTGAAAAACGCATTTTTCTCACCTAATGCATGTAATTACATCGACCGCAATAATATTAGTTCAGGTGACAATTATTTTCGAAATCTGTTCGATGATTCCGCGAAGAAAGCAGGCAGGCTGTTTGCATTAGCTCCGCTCGTCTTCTCGACATATGGCCACCATAATCCAATCGTCGGTTTCACGTATTTGTCTCTTCGAAAAATTCTTCCTTCCGTCGGGTTTTTTCCCATATCCTTCGACCACAAATTCCGTACCGAATCGCCCAGAAACATCTCTATTTTATACACAACAACGCCGCCATTTTGAACCAATGCTAATTTGACAGGTGTGACCATCTGTCATTGTCACTTCTGTTACATGTACAGGGTGGCCAAAGAAGTACGAAAATTTGTAGCGAGAGTACAATGAATTGTTTAATTCATCACATCAAAAGAGTATAGGAGAATAGATTTAACAAATCGAACAAATTTACGACTATGTTAGGTACACGATATTTCTCTTTTTGACGTTGAAAACGTAGGTAATTTACGTTGGCCGCAGTTTGTACTTTACTGTGATAATACCGGTAATTTATTTTTAGATTAAACAACTAGAATCGTAAACGGTGCCCGACGAGGTACGCGCGTACAGCATAGGTTCTTGTTTATTTTAAAATCGCGTTCTCGTTCTGTCAGATATGTTTCGTTATCGCATCTGTTTCTTGTAGTTTTTCCGTGTAATATGTAGGTAATTAATTTAATCGATCGAGTTTAAATGGAACCTTTACGGGTTGAACAATAAGCAACGGGGGCCTTAATTGCGCCGAAATGCCTTGGGTAAACTAATCGAAAGTTTTGATACAAATACCTGATTTTATTGTTTTGTGTAGTTGTTGAGAAAAAACAATCAAGAAGGCGTTAGAAATGTCATTTTGTTAACGTTGAAATTGTGGGAAACGGGGTAAAAATTGGACTTTTCCTCGATTAGATATAATTCTAATATTTTAGGATTTTTAATAATGCAGAAGTATTTTTATAAGATCTAGACACAATTCCAAAATGGTGCAAACTTTAATAATATAAAAAATGTCATTTTGTTAAGATTAAAATTATGAGAAATGAGACAATTGGACTCTTCTTCAATATTGTATGTCTTCAATATTTTGGATTTTTTTGATTATTTCATTGAATTCCTTTAGAAGATCCAGACACAATACTAAAAATAGAATGTAGTTAAATGTAATATCAAATCATATTGCACAAAGGTAATTGAAAACCCGGAAAATCTTCCAAAAATCTTCTTAAATTCTCGCTAAAAACTTTAATAAACCACCTCAAAAATAAAAATACGAAAACTTTCTGCACATCCACGGCACTGTTTCCGAATTTTTCGAGCCCCATCCGTCATTTCATCGAGCCGAATTCGCCGTCTTCCGGCTTTCCTCGACACCTCTCTCATCATTAAATGCGTTCGTTTTACTAATCGTTAACATTTTTTCGCAATTAACCGAACAACGGAAATCGATTTCCTTCTAATTCCAGATATCCATCGGCGACGTACGGTTGCGCAAGACGAATTTCGGAAAGTCGCTTTTAACGCGACGCCGTTAAAATAACTGTTAATAGTTCGAAACGCACTTCCGAAGCGCGTTATCGAATTTTTCGCCTAATTGAAATCTGCATGGCATAACCCGAATTACTAAGCAATACCTAACAGAAATTGTGGTACTGGTACCTTTCTTTGAACCACCCTGTATACACTTATGTACAGCGTACATATACCGTCCTCATACAGGATAGAATGCTTCAGCTCTAAACATACATTGCTATATACAAGGATGGGTGGAAAAGCTCCTATCAACTGAAAGCGAAAGCGGCGTATTTGGCTAGAAGCCACTTAAAAGCTTTTACGCGTCTCTGACGAGAGCTCCTCGACTTCGGCTTTAAAGAAACCACCACTTACCATCGCTATATAGCGACCTTTGAGTATATCCGACAAAGCTGGCGAATAAACAACTGGGAGCGAAAACGTTTCTTCTACGGAGAATTCCAATAATGGACGAAACAGAAAATGAGGAAAAGTTCATATTTACTTATCTTTATTTTGTGGTTTTTGTGACGCAACAAAGCTAATGTTTGTCCGAGTTAATCAATCCTTTGCAGAGTGACTTATCAATTTCCATCAAATTTTCTTTGATGTTATAACAATTTTGAATACTTCTTCACTCTAATAACTCTTATATTTTCTAATTCCCATCTCCTTTGCATCATATAATTCATTCACAATTGCCTTAATGGCGCAATAATATCTCGAAAGAGCTATAACAAAAAAATTTGAACGTGCTTTCGCCCACGTTTAATATAATACAATACAAACCTC